TTTTATGTTTAAGTTAAGGTGTCAGAATTTAATTGGCCGGCCTACAACAACTGGATGTCATGCACCTATTAGATTTAAAGTCCGAAACTATTCTCAGCTATATTTTGGCCCCACGTGCTTATCATACTTCTCTACCAGTTCACATTCATCCATAGCTGCTCTCCATTCTGGTATTCCTTATGCCACGTTCTGCCTGTGGAGCTGCATTAGCTACATTTTCCCACTGTGGTTTTCTCTGTAACACTAATGTACTGAAGTGCTCTATGTGTGTGTGTGTGTGTGTGTGTGTGTGTGTGTATGATTATAACCCCTGTAAGAGGAGCCCTGTGGAGCACACAGTGTGGTTGGGCTGAGGCTATTTTCTGCTGCTTGGGCCAGGACACAGTGGCATGGCTGCAGACTTAATGACATGTTTCAGAGGCATGGCACTCCGTTTAGCCGCATGAGCCATCGCCCCGCGGAGGAGCACTGTGAGACTGTGTGCCGTGTTTGCGTTTGTTTTTATGCATTTTCAGGACAAACATTCCTGATTTTGTAGGAAAAGAAGAAAAATATTTCTTTTTTTTTAAACTGTTTCTGTTTAGCTACCCTTTAAAAAGTCTTATTACAAGGAGACACTGTATAACCTATCATTATCAAATGTAGGCAATATATATATATATATATATATATATATATATATATATGTCTATATATATATATATATATATGTATATATATATATATATATATATATATATATATATATATATGTCTATATATATATATATATATATATATAGACATATATAGATATATGTAGATATATATACATAGATAAATGTACACCGGTCAGGCACAACATTATGACCACCTCCTTGTTTCTATGCTCATTGTCCATTTGATCAGCTCCACTTACTATATAGGAGCACTTTGTAGTTCTACAATTACAGACTGTAGTCCATCTGTTTCTCTGTATACTTTGTTAGCCCCCTTTTACCCTGTTCTTCAGTGGTCAGAACCCCCATGGACCCTCACAGAGCAGGTACTATTTGGGTGGTGAATCATTCTCAGCACTGCAGAAACACTGACATGGTGGTGGTGTGTTAGTGTGTGTTGCGCTGGTACGAGTGGATCAGACACAGCAGTGCTGCTGGAGTATGGACTACAGTCTGTAATTGTAGCACTACAAAGTGCACCTATGTAGTAAGTGGAGCTGATAGAATGGACAATGAGCGTAGAAACAAGGAGGTGGTCATAATGTTATGCCTGATCTGTGTGTGTGTGTGTATATATATATATGTATATATATATATATATGTATGTTAGGGAGCATATCATTGCACACACACACATCCACGTACACATCCATGGAATGTTTGTTTAACTCACATCCTGACACTGTATAAAAACCTGTGAGTGTGTTTTATTTGTTGGAGAGAGGAACACCAACACAAGCAATCTCACCAAATCACGGGCTATTTTCCCACCCAGGTCTTAATTGTACAGTTGCTACTACAAAGTGACCTTGATCAGAGAACTGTGAGTGCGTTGTGTGTGCATTTTTACTGTTAGTGCAGATCTGTTCTATTCCATAGTAGGGCCATTCGTGTGGCTGGATTCTCCAGTACTAATCATATGTCCCCTGATGGGACTGGTGACCATAGACAGGTCAGTGTTAGAGCTACAGTACCATTTGAAAGTTTGAAATCACTATTTTTTATGTAGTTTAGTTTAGTCTTGGATAAACTAAAGTCTTTAGATTTGACCACCACTTTAGAAATATGATGCATTCTGGATCTTAATTATATTTCAGCATTTAATATAATAACATAGAGCTTTCAGTTATTGTACAACTTCTATCTGCAACCAAACTGATTTTATATTAATGAAAACATTCATTTCAAACATTTGAATGCTGATGCCAAAGTTTTGAACTGTTGTCTGACCTGAGTCCTTTAGAAAGTTGGAAAAGGGAAAGTTGAACGTGCTGGAACAGTTTAAGGCATAAAGCCATTATGGAATGTTTTCTGAGATTATATATGTGCCTTTCACCAAGTTATTCTCAAATATCACTCCCAGTTAATATTCATATCCTGTAAGCGGTCTGTCTTTGCTTGTATGAGGAAGCGAAGCTTCACATTCTTACAGTTCCCCTGACTGAACACGCCAACAGAGAGGATTTCTCTCTTCTGAAGGAGTAACTCATTCACAATTATTAGATTTATAATGATTCAGTTAAATTCTTCAGGAATTTCATTCAAATTTGATACATTAGTGTAGATCCAGAAGTATTAAAGAAATCCCTTAGTACATAAATGTGAATGGAGGACCTGTTTGAAAACAGCCCGAGAACTGAATGAGAACTGAATGAGCACCTCCTTAATTGAATATTATTATAACTGACTATACAACAGTTAGTTCTGATGGCACAATCTGCTTGGTGAAACGCGTTCTAGCCACAAATAACATCATGTTTTTCTTGCAACAACTGTATCATTTCACTGAGCCCTTGCTAAGTAACAACGGCTTTGCAGCTATTTTTTAGGCCCCTTAATGACGAAAGCATCAGTGATCTGTGTTTCTGAACCATTATGTTCAGCGAACTTTAACAATGGACGTTTTTTAAATATACTTGGTTGTAGTTTGTTCTCTGTCTTTTGGTTTGATCATTTTTGGATGTTTATTTTATGAGAAATCGAGGGGAGAAAAGCTAATATCCAGTGAATGTCTGATATAAAACTAACTTTTGCGAACTACTTTCTTTGGCAGAAGGACTTGCCAGTGTTAAAGCATGTTTGAAATAATATTCTGGGTTTTTTTATTTATTTTGCATAGCAGTTGTATAAAAGCAACAGAACACTCAAGGTTGTGAGTTATCAAAAATAACATCACTGCTGTGATTTCCAAAACTGAAGTAGTTGTCATGTTCAGATTGATGTCCCAAGTTCTCTTTAAAGGATCAATACTGTCTGTCTCTTCTGCCAGTTGATCTCTAGGGAGAGTGCTGCTATGCTATACTCTTAGCGAAAAGAAGTCTATACAGAACCCAAAAAGGTTCTAGGACAATAGCGGAATCCTTTTTGATACAAAACTCTTTGTATACATAAAACTTTTCATCACGTGGAAGAACCATTTAACCATGCAATGAACCATTTAAACATTAAAGCAGTTCTTTGAGTTGTCATGTGTCAGCACATAACCACTGCCCTTATTAAAGACCTCAGTTTTTTGAAGGCATAAACATTTGGATTGCAGGACCACTGTTGGCTCAATATTTGTGGCTGGTGGACCACCCGCAACCTAGCACTGACGCTGACACATGTAAAAACCACATCAACACTGCTGTGTCTGACACGCATTCATTTTACAGGAGATATTTCTGAAGAAATTATGTGTAAGATTATCCACTTGCGTAAGGAAGAGGACAGTCAAAAAAGAAATAAGTGGAAAAAAAACAGAAGCTTCCAAAACTGAAGTTGCTGGTGTTCTCAGAAGAGTGGACCTCTCCACTCCAGAGAGCAGACCTTAAAAGCAGTGAACGTGTTTGGGATTACATGAATTGTGAGCAGCAGAAAATGCAACTTATTAGACTGAGCTTTGGAGGTGTGGAAAAATATCTCTGCAGATTTCTTTGAAAAAGTGAAAGTCTCCTGAAAAAACAGAAGCTATAATAAGTGTGGTGGACACACTGCTAAAAATTATTACTAAAATATTCTAAGTAGTTTTGGAGGCTTGTCATTTTCTAGTAAACATGTGTTTTCTCCTTTTTTCCTGCTAATAAATGTATATTTAATGGCCATTTTGACTGGCAATGAAACAAATGAATGGTGGTCTCTGACTTTTACCCAGTGCAGGTGGGCCTAAGAAAGCGACCAGTACAACACAGTACAATACAATAGTACAATAGTTTCTAATAAAGTGGCAAGTGAGCGCACAGAATTTCATCTGTGTGTGTTTTCCCTGGTGTCAGTCACAGACATTTGTGTGAGTCAGAGAGAGTAGAGTTGGGGGGGATTCCGGCTCAGTGATTGGTTCGGTTGACTGATCTGTTGTGAAGTGTCTGCTGAACTATCTACTGACCTGTACCTGCCTATTTATACTGTAATGTGCATATGCCTGCGCCATGGATAATCAGCAGCATCTGTTCCAAGTGTGTGCATTTCAGATGAGTCACACTGAGCCACGCTGTGCGCAGCTTCTGAACTACACGCTTCAACCCGTCCTAACAGCTGGTCATTTCTAGTCTGTGTGTTAGATGTGTTGGCATGGCCCGCGGGCTAAAACAAGCCACCACCCGTGGGCCATGTTTTCTAAAAACCCAATAAAAAGAGGATCAAAGATCTGAATACCTAAATGTATTGTAATTATGCCAATTATGCCAGGAATAGGACTAAATCTATTCTCGATCACCTGTACTGAAAACACACTGACTTGGAATACATTTAGCAGAAGCTAATAGAAGTGAATTAATGTGTGAAATATGTGAGTAGAGATGTACTGATATAAACAACAGATGTTACAGATTAGATAGAAAAAAGCTGCTGTATTCTTTTAATGCAGGGGTGTCCAACCTCATCCATAAAGGGCCTGCAGGTTTTCACTCGAGCAAAGCAGGAGCACACATGATCAGTTTTTTGTAGACTAATCAATTGAATAAACAAGCAGAATCAGGTGTGTTCCTGCTCATAGAAAACCTGTAGCCACACCAGCCCTTTGTAGATAAGATTGGACACCCTGTTTTAGCGTTTAGTCCAGAGCAGGTTTGCACAGCTGTGGTCCTGGAGGGCTGGTGTCCAGCAGAGGTTGGTGATTTACCTGCTCAAACACACCTGATTACACTCATCTGCTAATTGCCAGGTTTGGTGGGCGTGTTATGAGTAGGTGAAACTACCAAACTGTGCTAGACTGGACTGGAGTTGTGGATTGAGCTCAGATAGTAATCGCAAAGGAAGCCACAGTTTGTAATATAGCCCTGCATTTATCTCCTCACACTTTATCTCCCCTTTTTTTTAATACAGGACCTTTATGATTATGATGAAGTGATCGATAACGCAGAAGACATGGACAGCCTGAACAGGAACATTCCTGAACATGGCCGCCAGACCCATCAGGTCCTACAGGTGAGTAACCTGAGTGGACTACAGGTCCACAACAGTCAGAAACAAATCACAGGATGCTAACATAAAGAGCAAACTTGATATATATATGTAGTCAAGAAGCAGATTATCTATAAAGGTAGTCCTGCATTGCCCCTAAGATTAGTGGGGAAAGATATATTTGCATTAAGATATAATTAAGTGAAGTAATTAATCTTGATTCAAACAAACATTGTATGCTTAAATATTTGGTTCTCAAAGCCATTAACTGAACAAAAACACTGTATTTCAGATCTCCTTCTTAACCTATTTTGTAAAATCTAGCACAGAATTAGTTTAGCTTGCCTATTTATTGGACATTTCCAAGACAAAGGTGACCCAGGGCAGATTACAACAATAAAACAATACATCCAGTCACAAATAACACATGCAGGCTCTGAAGCATGGCCAGTGGTCAGCTGGCACACAATGTGACTGGTGAAAGAAATGTCAGTTGACAATAGAAGCAATTAAACACTATACATAGTACCAGTGTTAGGAGATTACAAGGAAAGATATGAGAACTAAAACCAACCACCATGGCCTTTGAGCTTTCAACAAAGGGTTAGCATGCTTCATAGTTAGCTGGGAGCTCAAGATGAATAGAGATGCAGTCTTGGCATTTCTTTCATAATGGCTGAGAGAATAAGAAGTTTGGCAAATCAAAAAATCAAAAGCACAATTTTTCCTGTACTTTAAAGTGTATCCGGCTGAAATAAATCATAGAAACCATTAAAAGTTTCTGTTGGTTCCTGGTGGTGTCCAAATAGTCAATACCCTACTGAAAAAACGTGCTGGGCTATGATGGTCTGGTGCTATATATATAAACAAACTTGTCTATGATGTTCCAGTGCTATATATATATATATATATATATATATATTTTAGGAAACTGGTCTCTAACAGTAACCATTAAACCAATTCCCATTAGAAGAAAACATTTCCTAATGGTTCTAACAGTCCTTTTTCAGCAGTATGGACAAAATGAAAGCTTCAAGATGGCTGCTGCTACTCTTTAAGCTATGCAATGTCCATTTTTGGCCATTTCTGTATGTCATTTAGTGTCAGAAACTACATAAGTAAGACTATTGGAGACTACTTGACAACATTCTGCATTCTGAGGCAGGTGTGTGTTAGGTGTGCATTTAGCACAGTGCTAATTGGAGAATAAGCATCCATTGCTTGTTAGCTACAAGAGCCTCGTAACTTCAGTACAAAACAAAAGAAGCAAAGTACTGAGACCAAATATGACTTGGCTGATTTAATACATTTAGAGTAAGGGGGGGAAACTGTGTAAATTTGATTTATTTGTAGAACTATTCCTCAGTATGTCAGTAAAATGTTCTAAAGAGGGGGAAATTGACTCATTGGCTACAATTGTGAAATGGAATAAGTAACTAAACCCACAGAGAGCTCTTTTATTCAGACTGACCAGTCATTCTATCTCAGAGGGGGTACAGACTGAGGAGGAATTTCCAGGCCAATACTCTGAACACGGTTTTTTACACCAAACCAATGTGCTAGCTTCTGCTCTGAATACGATCCAGAGGCTGAGGAGAAGTTTCCAGCCTAAAACTATTAGCATGTTCTTCTGACAGCAGCTGAATCTGTTTCCCAATTCAATCTAAAAATGCTAAACAGATTAATGCTAAATTATCTCCCGAAACTGGTATTCACTATAATGTCAAATGCTAACTTGCTATCTTGTTAGCCTTAGTCTTGTTCTACTAGAATGTCAAAAGATGCTTTTGTGCAAATCATTCTCATCATGTTGCCCTTGAAAACCTCAGGCCATGTCTTTGAATCTGTCCACTCTGTCAGTCATGACCCAGCCTCTTTTCCTTTCATCTCGGCGGTGAAATCCTGTTAGCCTCCCACCGTGTGTGGCTGTATCTAATGGAGACAAACCTGGTTAGCCCCGTTAGCCTTTTAGCTTACCCCTGCTTCACTCCATGGCCCTAATCGAATCAGCCTAATCCTGTTTGGAGCACCGCAAGCAGTCATCCAAAACAGGGCAGGTCATTTTGGTGGATTTTTTGGACTGTGCTGTAATTGGACATCAATGGACCCTGAATGTAGACTGAATTACTTTGCTGTATAGGCTATATTAAACAGTGCATCGATGCTTCTGAGTGGTCATCGGTGGAGGTTAAGTCAGTTTGTACATTGAATGGTCAAAGATTGTTGGTGTTCAACATTCAATTTCACCTCTAAGGAGGCATCCAGTTATTGTAGCTAAGGAAGGGTAATCTTTACTTATTTCAACCAAAAAAGAAAATAGACCTATTATAAACATTAATATGTTTTTTCTTTTGTTTTCATGTGTTTCCCAGAGTACCCCACTGGACCTGATTGAGACTGGCAAGACCCTCAAGGTCCAAGCAGAGCGCCCCCATCTGGTCAGTTTGGGAAGTGGACGTCTGAGCACGGCCATCACACTGTTGCCCTTACCAGAAGGTGAATGCTCAACTTATATGCTTATAGTTACTCATTAAAAGGGGTCATAAAATTGACAACTTGATTTTTTAACTAGAGTTTGATAATTGGTAGTTATCAAAGTCTTATTTCCCCAGTCCACATGGTCCATATATAAAAAACTGAACTGCCAGTTAATGTGGTTGTGATATTATTGGAATAAACATATTTCAATATTACTACCTGTGCAATCTTCAGCAGTTTAGCCCCTCCCATTAATGCTGAAGTTAAAAGGGGTGCTTAAAAGAAAAATGATTCATAAACGCTGCTAATGCAGGAATCAATTTCTTCTTCCCTATATTTTAAGAGGGTTTGGACAAAAATACACATCAGACCTGGTGTGAAGGTCCGCTTTTTTCATTTTAAAAATCATACTTGCTGTAAATCTGACACACTTCCCTTTATTGGAAGATGTTATTGGAAGGAGAACTTCCCTTTATTGGAAGATGTTATTGGAAGGAGAACTTCCCTTTATTGGAAGATGTTATTGGAAGTCATTAGGAGAACTTTCATTTGGCATAGTACTTCAGTCTTTTAGATTGGCTTATACTATCATATGCAAAAGTTTGATCACCCCTTTTCAAAGTACGCTTTGATAAATTTCTGAAATAAATTACCTCATCCTCTACATGGAACAAACTAAATATGGCTTTTTTCTGTTAATCTCATTGCACAATATATTCTATATCATTCATCAAAAAGATTTGGCATTTCTTGTGGAGTCCCTCAAGGATCAGTTTTAGGGCCTTCTCTTTGTTCATGCTACCTCTAGGTGATGTCATTATGAAACATAATATAAATTTTCATAGCTATGCTGATGACACCCAGTTATACATTTCCATTCCTTCTGATGATTAAGACTCTGTAGACAAACTAACCAGCTGTGTCAGATATTTCTCAGTGGAAATTTTCTACAATTAAATCATGAAAAAATGGAAATACTGAAAACTCAGATGAAGCTGCTTTATGAGCAACTTGATTCTTTAGCTTCATATACCAAACCTGAAGTACAAAACCTGCTTTATTCTGTCCGCTAAGCTCTGTTTTATCCTGCATGTAAACACAGTCACTAAAGTAGCTTTCTGTCATTTTAGAAGTATCACTAAAGTTCTGCCTTTTTTTATCTCAGAGTGATGCAGAGAAAGTTGATTACTGTAATGCTCTTCTTACTGGACTTCCTAAGAAAACAATACATCCTCCACAACTCATACAAAATTAATCAGCACACATCCTATCAAAAATAAAAAAGAGAGATCATGTCACTCCCATTTTAAAAGAAATGCACTGGCTACCTGTATCGTTCAGGATAGATTTTAACGTTCTGCTACTAGTTTTTAAGGCTCTAAATGACCTGGCACCTGCTTACATCACAGATCTTAGATCTGCAGATACTGGCCTTCTGCAAATACCTTCTCTAAAATACAGAAAACATGAAGAGGCCTCGTTCAATTATTGTGCTTCTAAACTGTGGAACTCAATTCCACCTTTTATTAGATAGTCAAGCTCAGTGCTCACTTTTAAGAAGCATCTAAAATGTATCTCTTTAACTTAGTATTAAATAAAAAATCTATATCTTGTGGTAATTATCTTTTAATTTGATCTGTGTCATTTTCTTATATGATTCTACATGAATACTTAGAATCTCTTGTATTACTCTTAAGCTTTATCACCTGTTTGTAAAGCACTTTGAGCTGCCACCGGCATGAAAAGTGCTATATAAATAAAAAATATTTTTCTTCTTCTTCTTCTTCTTATTATTATTATTAATATTATATATTTTCTAAGTTTAACATATTTGAAAAAGTCACAGGAAGGTGCTGGAACCTGTCCCAGCTGTCACTGGGCTGAAGGCAGGATACACCCTGGACAGGTCACCAGTCCACCGCAGGGCAGACAGACAGATAGACAGAAATATATCCACACACACTCACAAGCACACACGCATTCACACCTAGGGGCAATTTAGTGTGTCCGGTTGGCCTGACCACATGTCTTTGGACTGTGGGAGGAAACTGGAGTACCTGGAGGAAACCCTTGCAGACACAGGGAGAACACAGAAAAGACCCTGGTCGCCGGGCCGGGAATCGAACACAGGCCTGTCTTGCTGTGAGGCGACAGTGCTAACATTAATATTTGTGTTCTCTGTGGAAAATGTGTACTTGTTTTTACTTAGAGAACCAGCAAAACCTGTAATTTGACCAAACTTTTCCATTTCAACTGTATCTACATAGCTTGCCTACACAGATTACGTCATCCACTGCTGCAGAAATGTCTCTGTAGATTAGGACGTGAGCGATTCTATGAAATGTGCTCTCATTCCATTAGGCACAGCATGATTGTCACTGATCGTTTTGCTGCATTCAGCAGATCCCTTCATGTTACCTGTAAAAACCGCAGTTCCATTACTGCTAATGACGCCACTCTCTCTGTACAAACGTGCCTTGGCAGCTGGCCAAGCTAGAAATGAGATGGAAGGTACGAGACAGCAATCACGTGCATGAGTGTATGTGTGCGTGAGTGTGTGTGTGCGTGTGTGTGTATGTGTGTGTGTGTGTGTGTGTGTGTGTGTGTGTGTGTGTGTGTGTACTTATGCCCATGCAGGGATGTTTACCACAGGCAGCAGAGTGGTAGGGCATCTCATTTGCTGTATTCATAGCTACGCTATACTATCTCATCACTCAAACAATGACAAATAGAGGACTTTCTTTCCCCTGACACTGAAGAGGAATGGGAACGTGCATGCAGAAGCTAGTCCCAAGAGTGCTAAATGTAGTACACTACTCAGCTGACTTGCCTTTTTATATTCTGCGAGATTGAACTTTGGATTCATCTAATTTATTATATGAATGAATACGGAAAATGTGACCCAGTTATTAAGTGGCTAACCAAAGAGTTCTTATTAGGGATATTAAAATGCATTGATGTAATGTGAAGGGGAAGGTAGTGATTCAACTGCGTCCACTTTGGAATGATAAAATTGATTTTATAAAAATACACAGTTCCATTGGCTCTTGGGGCTTTGAATGAGGGTGTTAACTGGTGCTAAAATGTGTTAGCTATCAAACATTAGTCAGCTATAATGCTTACATATAAGAGTGTTTAGTGATATAGTGAAGTAATAAGATCAGTGCTATATTTACTCTTCATAACATTGTGGATGTGTCCTGTTGCAAATAAGACATTATTTTGACATAATCTGTCAAAATCTTGAGAAAATAAGACACTATTTTGACAGAATCAGTCAAAATCTCAAGAAAAGAAGATATTATTTCAAAAAAATCATTTCAATGTTAAATATTCCTCCTCTATCTTCTGGGAATGGCCTTCCAAATTAATAAACTCTTCTGTGTTGTGGCATAAAATTTAACTTTTTTTCACATGGACATCATACTTCAGTATGTGCTTTAGCGATCGAGCAATTCAAGTATGTTTGCATACTTCCTTTGGGTCTGTGTGTGATTTAATACACCTCTTTAGAGCAGAAGGGAAATTTATAGGTCCATGACTGGACCCTCAACTGACCCCTTTTGTCTCCAGTTGCTCTCATACACACACTCTATATGCTTGTGTGTTTTTGTTTTCATTAAATTAACAAATGTATATATTTTCATATGTTAAACTGCTGGCATATTTTTCAGTTATTGATCTTAAAATGTATTAATCAGTGAGGCTTATGAATTACTTGGTAACTACTATTTAATTAATATATAAGTTCTGTGATTATTAGAGTGTTGAACTGAAGTGTGGGTTTACTCTAAGGGGTTAAGGGGAAGTGAATTAAAACCTTATTCCACATCAAACGCAGCACACGCACACAAACAAATGTGTACACAATGCCTGAATGCCTACATAGACACCCCAGTCTCCAGCACAATGAACTTGAGTTACTTATCCTTTATGCACATCTGTCAGTCTAGCCAGCTAGACAGAGACATGGTGGGCACGACTGAGGGTCAGACAGAGGAGGGGAGCAGCTCTGTCTGCCAAGTCAGGAATCTGACTGAAGGAGGGACAGGAATATATGCAGCCATTTTCTGAACATAACAAAAAAAAACAAAAAAAAAACCCAAAAAAAACACAGCTTTGTATATAAAGTTATGTGAATACTGATTTTCTAAGTGAACAGACAACAACCATAATTTTGTTCTGCACATTTTAATGCACAATTTCCATTTATTTGCTGATATAGTGGGGGGAAAACATTAAATATAAAATGTCTTTAACTTTATATAAATATATAATATATTTCCATAAATATATTTATATAAATGTATATTTATATAAATGTTTTTTACTTTTCATAAGGCTTAATTTTTATTTCTAATATGTTAAATTCAGCAAATAAACAGTAATTGTGCATTAAAATGTATAGATGTCTGTTGTCTGTGGAAAATCAATAAAATATGTCATTTGAACAGGGTGCCCTAACGTTTGCATATGACTGTATAGGACATACATTCCCATTCAAAATGTTGGAGTGAAGCTTTTTCAGTATTAGACATACAGTACTGTTCTGTGTTTAAAGTCACTGTTTCAAGAGGATTTTTGGAATTAAAGTTCTAATATAATACAGTAATAAAAAACAATTTAGTAGCAGGTAAATGTATAAAACAGTTGTTAATATAAGGTGACCAGATTACTGAAATGAAATCTGGGCATTTCCAGTTTGGCATATTGGTCAATATATCAGTAAAATATCCAATGTTTTTATCTATGAAATAAAAAGGGGGAACAGTTGCAATTTCATGTGTTTTGACCATGGTAACCATTGAATTGTAAGAAACCTGTAAACTGTGTCACAAAATCATACAGTAGCCTACCATGGTAAGTGAAGCTATGGTAAACTATGGAACACTCAGTAAAGAAAATGGCCAGCATGCATGGGAATAAATTACAGTAGTCCTATAAGAGATTTATATTTCTTGCTCTCCCCCTTTGTGAGATTTGTCTCTTGATGCTTATAGAAATAAAATAAAATTGCGAAGTATAAAAGGTCTTAAAAGTCCAGCGGCTTAGGCAGGGATGAGGCAGGGATACATTTACCACAAAAGATTCAGTGGTTGTATGAGCCTATAATTCATAGTCATATTAAATATTTTGGCAGTAAAAAGAGACTCGTGGCTGTAGCTCAATAGCCAGACCCTAATCACACCCCTAGGCTAGCTCCAGTTCCGGAGAGACAGAGACAGCTTCTATTAACATATACCATATGTTATATATGTATATGGATGGCTAATATATGGTGACAAAAGTGAAAAAAAGTTTTTAAAGAATGATGCACTGTTTGTACATTGCATGGTAGCCTACATATAAGTAAACTGTTTGCCTATACAAATTAGATACCTATACCCTGGCAGTACGATTCAAGTTCTGTAACCCCACCCCTGCTTTTAATCCCTGGTTTACCACTAAAATGTTGTGGACTTACATGACACTTGCTAGCTTCTGGTCGAGTTTTACATAGCAGTATTCTTTAAAACTAGGTAAGCAAGTAGTAGAAGTGGTTAGAAGTGATAGATAGCAGCAGCCAGGCCCCTCTGTTGGCCAAAACAAGCACAATGTGAAAAGTCTGGCTGTCTGCTCTGCTGCCAGGACTTTCTTACAACTTTCTTTTTTTAATTCATAGTTATAAACGGGGACATTTTTGGGGACAGCTCCAGCCGGGGATAGGCCACCAAAAACGGGGACTGTTCCCAGAAAACAGGGACGTCTGGTTCACCCTATGTTCTTATGTTTGTCCTGTGCAACTTCTTAAATAGGAAGCAATGAAGTTATGAAGAAAAACTTTTAGATGAGTCCAGAATGATAAACAGAGCTGTCGATGACTCCAAATAACTAAGAAAGCGTGAAGAACAAAGTCATAATACAATTAATATCCAGGATGCTTTGTACCAGGTCCTTTGACTTAAAGATATTAATTCATAATTGCTTAGCTTGTGATTAGTGTGTTTGCTTGGGGCTAACATATTAGCTTGTGGCAAGAGTGTTCACTTAGAGCTAACATATTGGCTGGTGGGTAGAGCGTTAGCTTGGGGCTAACATCTTAACTTGTGGCTACTTTGTTGCCTTAGGGTTAAAATATTAACTTTTGGCTAGTGTGTTAGCTTAAGGCTAACATATTAGCTTTGGCTAGTGTGTTAGCTTGGGACTAAAATCACTTGTGACTATTTTGTTAGCTTAGGGCCAACATAGTAGCTTGTGGCTAGAGACACTAAAATACAACTTTTGTTTCAGATATTATACATATATATATATATTTGTTGAATGCTCTAATAAATTGAAAATGCAAACATTAACATATTAATATATGGCATATATTTAGCCATTAATTATTGTGGCATGTGTCAAAAATCTATCAAATCAAGTGTTTCACTGTGTCATATCAAATTGAATAGTCAAATCTGTGAACAGTTACCCCCCTAAAATTGCAGCATGTAGTAACTTCTTGCTTTTACCAAAATACTTGAAATATGGAATAAAACATATGAAAATGTCATTGGTGTCTAGTTTATAATATTTATATCTAAGTAGGTGTAAGTGAGCATGTTTTTAAGAGGGAAATATTGCATGTAATGTTAAAGTATTAGTTAAATAATGTCATCTCATTTAGTGATAGGCAAAGACTAAAAATACCATTTGTTGTTTGTGACTGCAGGGAAAACCACTCTGGGTCATGGGAACACTGACATTAATATCCAGGGTCCAGGCGTGGCTGCTCTGCACTGCTACATTGAGAACCAGGCAGGGACCATTACTCTCTTCCCCTGCGGCAACCTCTGCTCCATGGACGGCCTTGCAGTCACCAAGCCTGTACGACTCTCTCAAGGTATACACATGCTGCTAATGTTAAATGGCCTGAGAACAATAAAAATGTGTGAAAGTCCCTCCAGAACTCCAGAAGGAATAAGAAGGTGGTCCTGTTTCTTTTACATTCAGTTTTGAATGCTCAAATCTCCTCTTTGTTAGTTTACATTGGAACACTGACAGGGACACTGAGTAAAATATTTTAAATATTTGTATCATACTCTAATTACATTACATAGAGTTATATTGAGCATTTTTCAAAGTTTGACCTAAAAAAAAACAAAAATCAAAATAGAATAAAACACTGCTTAAACACTGCTGCAGGTGGTACTTTAGACCACACTGTGTCCACAGTTCACTAAAAATATTATCCAGCTTTTATGTTGCAACCTCTTGAAGAAGTTAAGACTATATCAGAAAGGTTCAGATCTCTATGCACTCACATGTACTGCTGCTGTAGCTGGTAGGAAGAACAAATGAAGGGGCAGATGAGCTAGCCTGACAGCTCTGATGTGCTTACTAGGTTAGCTTTCGCTTGGTGGTTAGCTTTTGGTCACTAACTCTGATTGGAATAGAGAGAGATATTTGGAAATGTGGTTTTGTTAACCCCTTAAATGGCCACCAGCGGGCCCAACATTTTATTACACACTTCTTTAACCTAAGAATAGGTCACCCAGTTTGCACTGAAGTCCTTGTATTTACTTAATAATAAGACTTAGTATGTAATTAGCCTGGGATTTTAGGGAGTTAAAGCTGTTTGGGCTCGAAAAGCCACATCAGCCTTGTGAGTGGTGATGGTAAAACGTCACATGGGCTAAATACATCAGTCATTAATTGAACACTGGAATGTTATTTATAAGGCATACTTTCTACTAGTGAACTAAGAAAGAACGATTAATCTAAAACACAGTTTTAAGTTCCCTTTCTTCTCTTAAACATTGAATTTCATAACTCTTTGACTCAAACTCGTTTCACATAAGGCTTTTATTCAAACCTCTTAATATACTTTTATTTAACTTTTAATTTAACTTTTAATTTAACAATTATAATCAAGACGTAGCAGCACAAGGAATGCAAATGTGACTTTTATCTAAATAAATCCACATTGTGTTTTAATCTTAATATTTTAAGCTCAGGTAAGATGGCAGGTCACTTGTATGGACCTGTGTTTTTATATAACAGGGACTTCTAAAGCAGTAAATCAATAGATTCAGTCAGATGAAAACAATGCTAGGCCAAATGTCACCACTCCAATGCCAGTTCTGATTTGAGTCAAACATTGCCATTTTCAGCTTCAGTATGTCCTCTTATTCATTTAACCCCTTAAAACCCCAGGCTTGTTACAGGCTAACACTTATTATTCAGTAACTACAGGGACTTCAATGCTAACTGCTATTCTTGGGTTATAAAAGTTTGGGCCAGCTGGTGGGCCCTGGCCTTGTAAGGGGTTAAACTACTGAGACATCATTCTCTGCTTCAGAGTATGTAACAAAACATGTACTACAGACCCACCGAATATCCATGGTATGGAGATGTGTTTGAACTTCCTTTGAAAGACATTGACCTTGCTATATTCTCTATGGCTATTTAAGGCTGCCCAGCCTGGAATGTCACGGGTCTGTATATAGACTTTATGTAGATACAGTGGACAAATATAACAGAGTGCTGTACACTGTAAAAGGGTGGTTGGTTAAGCAAATCGTATACAATTCAAAAATATGATGCTCCAACAAAGCAAACAGCTATCACAGGAAAAATAGTATAAAAAGAACTCATAGAGGTTAATGTTCTTCATACTGTAGAGCTGGCTGCATGACTGTAACCAGGATTTGATTTGGATTCTGGAGAATTTTTGTGAATGAAAATGACATAGTGAGCCAAAAGCAAATGCACTTTTTGTTAAAACCAAGCTATTATTAAAATAATGTTGTTCTTAACAGCTCAGCCTTGAAACGCCTCAGGAAAAGATAAAAATAGATGGACAATTCAGCATATTGCCTTTGACATTGACCTTAAAGTGTGTTACTTTAGTTGGCCATAAGCTGTTAATCTACCTAGTTCGCCAAGTTCTACAACTTTCTAGCTTTGTTTTCTGACAGGTTTGGTAATTACAAATCTAGGTTGAATTTAATTTAGATGTTCTTCTGGAGAAGGAGGCTAGCATGAATACACAGGCTATTAGCATTTAGCGTGGCAGGTGGCTAAATCTACTATTGTTCAGTGTTTTAGTAGTTTGAAAAAACATTTTCAGATGCACTTTGCAGTTCCTCAATTACAGACTGTAGTCCTTCTGTTTCTCTGCATATTTTCTTACCCCACTTTTACCCTGTTCTTCAATGGTAAGAACCCCCACAGCCAACAGAGACCTGTGAGCAGCATCTTGTGACCACTGATGAAGGACTAGAGGATGACCAATGCAAACAGGGCTCCAACAGATGAGGCAAAACAGTACACAAATAATAGATGTACTGCTATTTTACTTACCATAATCAGCGCTACATGTAAGAACTCGTCTAGGAAGAAAACCTCTAGGGTCACAGGTCATTTTGGATAGAATGCAAAATGGCTATACTTGTGTTGTAGACATAACAGCCCCTGGTTCCTGTCACCACCACTGTAAAGAAGCCTGGGTCTGTAAGTTGCTCTACAATGAACCACGTCACATCAAACCACTCTGAATGACTTAAATCTCAACGGCTGAATTACACAGAAATTTAGAAAGCTCCACAGAATTCCTCTGTAAGTTCCACACTAAAGCGGGGTGTTAATGTTATTCAGCAGATTACAGCCCCGCCTGCTGCTCTGCTCTCCCGCAGCGCACCACAATATTATCATCCCTAATGGCACAGACAGCAGCCGGTGTTGCTGCAACAGCTGCTCGACGCACCGCCCTCACACACACACACACACACACACACACACTCCACTCTCTGCTCCTCAGCAGTGCCACTACTGAGCCTGGCTCTTTTTAAAAACTCGCTTTATTTAAGTTCTCTCTGTTTCGACATCACTGAAGTCTGGAGAGGAGGATAAAAAGAAGCGCGAGCAGCAGGTTTCCCCCTGAGAGGTGGATGCCGGTATGTTAGTTAACTAACTGTTGTTGATGTCGGGCTGAGAGCAGCACATGGCCACGGTGGAGTAACGTTAACGTTGCAGCCTCACGTTTTCCGTCGGCTTTATGCTCTTTGCTCGTGTGTGGTTTGCTTAACAGTTTGGCAGGTGGACATCTGGCCTCTTCTGTGTGAAAGAGAAAGTCAATAAGTGACATTAACATTACAAAAGGCGCTAGACAGCGGCACACGAGCAAAGGCTGCTCAGAAGAAAGACGTTTGGATGTTTCTCTCCTGAGAGGATGAAAGTTAGCATCTCTGGCGCTCGCTAATGACTGGAAACAAACGGCTTTAAATGTAAGGCTTTCACTGTTTCTGTGTTTAGTTTGTGAAATGTAAGCTTTTTATCGCTTTTCGCAGTTTTCTGGGACTTTTGTTTTTTTGAAAGTTTTTTTTTACAAGGCAATAATGTGGTACAGTGATTTGTTTAGTATTTCTGTATTGGCTTGTTGTTTTCATGTTCGTTAGCCATGTTAGCCATGACAAGTAACGTTACAGTGGGCTAATTTAAGAGGTTTTGGGGGTTTATTACATTGCTTTATAGTTAGTAAATGGTTTATATAAATGTTAATTGTCCTCACATGAGAATGTGAAACAGAATTATAGACTACAGTAATAAGTGCTGAAGTGCTATGAAGTTTTGACGAAGCTGACACCCTATTATTATTCGAACTTTCCGTTCCACCTTAAAGTGTGTAACAGTTACTAGTTGCATTCTGGAGCCTGTACGTGTTCCAGAATACAACCGCCGCTCAATTTAAGGTGGAACGGAAAATTAAAAAAAAAAAGAATAGTCTAACTTAAGCTTCGTGCTGTTTTGTAGGTTCTTATCTACTGTACTGCAGTCATAGACACCTGCTGTCATTCGCATTTTAACCTTAATTTCCAGCCAGTTAGCTTTTTTCTGTCAGTACGTGACCTAATGGAGCATAACAGTGATGGCTGGAACATTTTTATTTTTCAGGTTTTTTTTTTTTTTGTTGAACCCTGAACACTCACAATGGCTTACCTCAGGCTACCCTACTCTTTTGTGTGTTTTGTTGTCTGATAAGAAGAAAAGTAGACATTCTGCTCTAAGTGTGAAAACAGAAGCTCTAGGAGAGATGACCTAATTCATTGTGCTTGTGTAACAAGTATTAAGCTTGCAGGCAAATTACAACTTGTGAGACACAGCCCACTGATATCAGTTCGCCTGCATTATTTGTTTGCCATTTTATTGCAGTGATTGCTGCCTTAAATAAATATGAAACAATCTGGATATATGCTTTAAAGCCTTTTATCCAAAAGAAAGGCGGTATCAATATTAATTTCCTGTAAGATAAGACAGGACATGGCCTGAATATGAATTACGTTGTTATGAACGCAAAACCAATCTGTTGGTCCTGAATGACTCAGTTATTGCAGGGTTAAATGGAAGTCATTTGAGCTGATGTAGATGATAAGGCTCATGTCTGGTATCTAAAGCAGCATCATGATGTGTATCCTTCTTCTCACAGTCAGTACTTCCTGTCCTCAGACCAGCCCAGGCCAGTATTCATTATGAAATGGAGGCCATAATTCTTGAGCAGGCAGTATTGATTCATCTGGGTCCTTAATCACAGCACCGTCATAATGGCAGAATACTAAGTGGGTGAATGAATGGGGAGGTTAATGTGTTGTGTATTGGACCTTTTTAAGTGTTGACAATCCAAACCTTTTGTAGATTTTTTTGCTAAGATTGTGTTTTACTTATTATATATATGTATTATATACATTAATTCAGTCATATAATAAAAGAACAAGTTCTGGAACCAAATGTCATCACCTATGTTGCTAAGTGGACTGTGTTTTTCCTACTCTAGCTCCAAAGGAGCTACCCTTGGTGAAAGCTTCTCATTTGAGCCTGTGTGTACTTTGTTCTTAGTTTTGGATTAGCTGTTATTTTAGACTCTGGCGGGCACACACATATACGCACATGCAATCCAGATAATGCCACATCTGCTGTGTTTCCAAAACACTGTTTCTCTGTTGGAAAAGGTTTCCCATTAACCTTTACCTGGTTTGTCAGTAAAGGCCATTTCATTGTGTGTGTTGTGGCCGGAACCAATCCAATTCCACCCAACTCAGGTCCACGATTAAAGTATTTCATATGTAGCTCATTTTTACACTCTTTGTTTGCCTTATTCAGGCTTATTATTCTGTTACTAATCTTAGGACTTTTATTATTCAACTATTTTGAAACCTAAACCCTGCTTATTGTTTCCCTGCTTTAACACATCAACTACACCTGGTAATTAACTGATGAATCGAATCTAGTGTGCGTGAGCAGAGAAATCACCAAACTATGCTGGACTCCAACCAGCGATGTCCAGAGTTTGACCAGAGTTTCAGTATTCTCATTCTTCTGCCTTTCTCCACTTTTTTCACAGGGTGTATGCTTTGTTTTGGTCAGTCTGCCTTTTTCCGTTTCAACCACCCAGAGGAGGCTCTCAGGATGAAGAGTATGATGCCAGGAGGAAACCCCGGCCCCACAAGCACCTACAAAGGCCATTCAGGTACAGCTTCTGAGCTGCACTCACTGCACAACTGGCTCTAAGCACAGCTATTTATTTACAGTTCTTGGTGATGGCAGATTTTATTTAACATACATTGTTCAGTTTACTGTTTCAGTATGATGATGTAAGCTTAAACTTACTGAAATATGTATGTCTATGCTATAGTGGAGTACACATAAAGAAGCCATAATCCTTTATTTAGGCTGCTCACAGGCTACATTTAGATGACTGAAAAATACCCAAAATTTGACAACCGTAGGCTGATCTATTAATTTTCATTATGATGGTTACAATCCTGGCCTTAGATGAGATCACTTAACACAGCAATGACTCCCACTCAGTGCTTTATCCACTAATTGTTCGGCTGTGCACAGGATGTGAGTCTGTAAGGAGACATGTAGCTCCAGTGGAATGAATAAGAAGCTAAATGGCCTAAGGCACTTGTCTATATGTGTGTGTGTAGTCACTGGAAAGCCCCTTCAGATTCTTTGACCCTATCAGGGTGAATTCCCTGTTGGATGTGTGAGCCAGTATGACGTCATCACGATAAAGATGTTTAGACTGTTGAGGGCATGACCTGGCAGGTGCAGGGTCAGAGTTCAGAAATCTGTTGCTTTGTTTACTGACGAAGGGGACGGTCTGTGTGGGGCACACACGATGAGATTTTTAGCCTTATGTCCAGCTAATACATGTGTAGTAGATTTGTCATAATAAACATTTTTTAAAGGAAAGTTCAGAGAGAGTTCAGTACTCTTTAGCAAATACAGTTCTCAAACATTCTTGAGAATTTTGTCACCAACACCGATTTTAAGGAGCTAAAATGAACATGACCGATTATAGAAGATGATAAAAGATGATGTTATTCCAAATAGCGTTATAGTCCCGAATATTATTCCTTATATTACCTTAAAAAAGCTTTGTCAGTGCTTTAACACTGTCATACTTAATGTCTGATCTTGGATACATTCAGAGACTTTGGAGTTGTTTCATTTTAACCCATTAAATTCTGCAAATGATTAGTTGTGATGCATGCATCAATAGTAAAATCAAACAGCAAGTGGCATTTTTGTGCTACCGTGTTTTCTAGATGTAAAATAAGCGCCATGCTGCCTTTTTTGTTGGATGCGCTGAATTTAGATCCCTATGGACTGCTAATTATTTGTTTCGTGAGAGAAAAATAAAAAGCCATTAGATGCTATAAGATGCAAGTATTAACCACAAATAAACTGAAGCTAAGACACAGAAATCTCTTTTATCAGGCTAGCAGAAATTATCATTATCTTAGAAGCACCAAAACAGGTAAACAAGTCGAACCTGCAGCCTCTTTATATCGTCCTTTGCTGCAGCCACTATTGAGCACTTTAGCGTGGCACAGTGACTACACCTGTCCCCACTACTGAGACAGCCAATGAGAGCAGAGGTCATTAGCATACAAAATCAACTCTTAGAATTTGACATGTTCTTAACAGAGGAGTAAAGGACAGAGTGAAACACGAACAAAGACTAAATTCAAGTATTATCTGTTTTATACTGTTCATAGCTGTCTTGCAGCAAGCACAGGAAACTCTATTTAATTGAAAAAAAAATCCTTTAATAGAAAAGTGTAACATAGTTAACAAGCGGAAATAGCCACCCAAGCACTGGATTATGGAGTTAAATTAATGGAACCTTAATATTGGTTGATTTTATCTGCCAAATTTTAGTTGGGCTCTACTGTAGAGTGTACAGTGGATTGTGGAGGGATGATTTACCAAGACTTTATCCAAGAAAGACTTGCTAAATAACTTGAGTGTAGGAAGGAGATTGATGGGCCATGACTGAGGCAGTGAGTGTGGGGAGTTGTGTGGAGTGTGGTGAAGAGTGGCAAAGTGTGAGGAGTGTGAGTCATGCTGTAATTCAGGCTCTGTTCTCCTCTGTCCACACCAACCTTTGTACCGAGGGAGGGAAGCCTGCATGACACACCCACGTCTCCTGTGTGTGTGTGTGTGTGTTGTGTGGCAGGAAAAAAGAGGTGGAGGAACTGTGTGTCCGCAGACATGTGTGTTTGTTAAAAAAGAGAGAGAGGGAGGAAGGGATGGAGAGTTTTCGCCTGTATTTCCCTAACCTTCTTGTGACTGAGCATAGAGTACATGTGCTGTAAGTGCAATTTTTTAGGCACTTAAACAGCTTTTGATGATGCCAGTAAAGTGATGTACAGTGCCAGTCTAAGGTTTGGACACACCTAATAAATGCATGTTTTTTCATTAGCTTAAATCTAGCCGGGTGGTCCTCTCAAAAGGGGGACGCGGTTGAAACAAATGCAAAGTATGCATTTTAACTACATAACATATACAAATATACAGACATACACATATAAGTGCGCCTGGGTTTATTACCTCAGGGTTTATTAGCGGTTTTTCAGAATACAAAGCACACTAACTACTACTACTGTTAATACTACTATTTACTACTACTAATTCTTCTTCTTAATTATCATCAATATTATTATTGTTATTATTATCGGTAGTATAAATACATGAATTGTTTAATAAATATTTTAGTGTTTAATTAAATCAAGTATATTAACAGTAGAATTAAACGGGATTCATATTGTAATAGCAATGGTGCTAATCCTGATTGTGAAGTATTGGTAAAGTATGGGCAGTTAATCTGCGTTCTCAGTGGATTTGTTTCATATTTCCTGTCAGTTTGAACATACTGTATCTACCACATCTCGTGACTGAATCCACAAAGGCAGATTTAATGAATTGATGGTCTTATATAGAATAATAACCGGGTTAGTTGTAGCGAAACTGCAGTCATAATCAGTCAATCACCGATCGGGAACTGTAGCATTACACTTAGCTGCTACTTTTGTTAGCTTACGTCTCATTGATTTATCCATATTTCAGTTCCGTAGCCTAATAAGCCGTTAGTTTTGCATGCCATTGCACTACCAGATAATGCCTAAAAAGAGAGCCTTCAAAGGAACATCTAAAAATTGCTAGTATTTGTGAGTTATAGCAACTGTGCACTAGACTTCGGCGTACACTACAATGAGTACGCAGTACACACACTAGGAAAATACATAAAAATGGAACACATTTTGAGAGTGCTAAAATTGTAATTTATTAAAAAAAAATTTAAATGAAGAAAAAATTATTTTTGAAATGTCCCCTCAACATGTAGTTTTTATAGGCCTGAGTAAAGTTATCTCCTGCTTCTTCACGCCTTTTTGGAAAATCCAAAGTGCCTCCTCATGAATCTGCTTGAGAGAATGCAAAGCTGCATCAAGGCAAAGAGAGGCTACTTTTAGAATCTAAAATGTTAGACTGTATAATTCCATTTGTTATTTTTCATAGTTTTGGTATATTGACTATTATTCTAAAATGTACAAAGTAGCAAAAATAAAGTTTAGCTTTTCCATAAGTAGATGTGTCTCCAAACTTTATACTGGTACTGTACATTATTATATATTATGTGAAAGAAAAGGAGGATCGTAAATTTTATTTAAAATGAACACAGTAAGTATTCAGCGTGTGTTTGTGGTTTTCCCTAGCGACCATATTTTCTAAGAATTATGTTCCTCTGTCTTTACCAGTAAAAATTTGCTTAATATGGATGGATATTTGATATCAACATTAGCTATTATTCTTTTTCCCTTAGAACCCCATGGACTACTGAATGGAAACCACCAGCCTGTTCCTCATGAGAGAGTTCGTCCTGGCCATGGCACGCTGGTCCGTTCCATAGAGAAAGACCTCCAGGACATCATGGACTCTCTGTCTATGACTGACTCTCAGGCTTCCTCATCTGAGGCTGCCAAGCTCTCTCACCACCCCATCCCACAGTCTCCCCTTTCCCCGATGCTCAATGGGGGCGGGCGTTATGTCCTTTCCCCTCCAACCAGCCCAGGAGCTATGTCAGTGGGCTCCAGCTATGAAAATGCCACTCCTCCCTATTCTCCTCTTTCGTCTCCCTCGGTTGCCAGCAGTCCAAGTAATCCGCCTGTACCTTCACATTCAGCTAGTCATAAAGTCCAGGTCCCAGTTCCTCAGCCAAGGGCGTCAGTACCTCGGAATAACAATAGCAGCATGGGGCAGAAAGTTCAGGAAAGTCCTAGACTTTCAAGGAAGGCCTTGACAGAGACACCACCAAGCTCTTCACCCAACCGCCAAGGCCAAAACCAGGATGTCTTTTCTAGAGGAGGTCTAGAAAGTCCAAGGTCAATTCTGAGTTCCTCCTCAGCCTCATCCTCTTCAGCATCTGGAGATACAAGCAGGCAGAACAGCATCAGGCTCACAACGTCCTCATCTCCAGCCTCCTCAAGTCCTAGATCCAGCCTGGGCCAGGAGACTCCTCCAGTGGACCGTACAATCCAGCCCCAGCCACGCTCAATTTTGCCCCCAGAAAGCCCTCAGTCAGCTCATAGATGCCTGGAATCGTCCAATGCAGTTTCAGTGCTGGAACGTCCACCTCCCAGCCCCTCTACATCACGTCGTGTGCTTCAAGGAGTTCCTGTCCTACCTGGAGCTTTACCTGGTGTCTCTTTGACCACTCGTAGCCAATCAGGAAAGGCCGTAGCAGAGAGCCCTCGACTCAACAGGCGAACCACAGCAGAAGAAGATAGAGCAGGAACGAGAAGGCTTAGGACCAGAAGCCCTTCTCCTGTATCTGTGCTCCTGAAGGACCATGCTGGGAGGCAGAAGGGACCTGTTGGAGCCTCTTTAAGCCCTGCACTGAGTGCCCAGGCTGGGGTTTCTCCCCTCACCAGCCCCCACAGCCAGAGGAAGAGCTCCAGAGAGCAGCGGCCGGTTCAGCCTCGTGCACGGGAGCGCAAGAACAGCATCTCTGAAATCAGTGACAACGAGGATGAACTTCTAGAGTACCATCGCTGGCAGCGGGAGGAGAGGATGAGAGAACAAGAGATGGAGAGACTGGTGAGTGTGTCTGTGTGTGTGTGTGCTGTTCTCTATGTCTGTATGAGTGTGTGTATTGTAGGTCATTCATGGTGACCTCAGAGTAATTTGATTAAGACTCTTTAAGTAACAATTCAGTGTGTCATTGATTCTTTTGTTACGATTCAGAATCATTTTTAAAAGTACACTGCAATACATACTTATCGCTGTTGTCAGAAGAAAACCTCTCATCTCCAAAATCACAACTTTACAGGAGAAGGAAAAAACCTACTTTACTTTTAATGTAAGTCAATGGACCGACATTTTTTCTAAGTCGTTTTAGGTCATTTCTTTTAGTCTATTCATCATGAAATTTACATCCAATGAAAAGGTAACAGGTATTTTCAAATTATGTCAAAAACGTCAAAAATGGAGATACGAGGTTTTCTTCTGACAACAGTGATATATACTTTTTAGTAGTGAAACACAGACAATAAACAAAAAATACACACAGACTTTTTTCACTTTTTGAAAATATTGTAGTAATTGATTAGAACAAATGCAGTTTTATTCTTTCTTTCTCCTGCAGCTTTGCTTTTTTATGTCACTAGAGCAGCCAGAGTATGTGAGTGATATAGAGTGAAAGTGGAGTGGTGTGATTTTGCCTGGAGCAAGGGTCAGCTTTACCTGAACTGAAAGCTGAACTAACTGAGATTTTTAAGTTTTTGAAGTGAAGACTGTGTGTGTAAAGAAGGATTTGTTGGTTAATGTTTAGATTGTAAGGTAGATTTTTCAGGGCTCTGAAAACTGTGATTGGTTGGTGGTGGGTGGCAGTGGGAGGTTTATAGCTAAGGCGTAGACAAGAGTAACACATTGGTGTAAATTCCTAAGTGTCTTGTAAAGAACCATGGGCAGAGGGTGTGGCTATCTGAATGCTATATTTACCCAACACAGTCTCAAAGCCTCAGACCACTTCCACACACACACACACACACACACACACACACACACACACTAGCTCACGTCCCCCTCATTTAACTGCCTCCACACTCACTCCATCAGTAACCCTGTAATTCTCTGCACACATTATGTACCCAGATGGCTCTTCAATTCCGAAGCCAATCCAGCTACAAAACGCCTGTCATATATGACCTTTCTTCTTCAGTTCATGAGTATTCTTCCTTCTTCATTAGTATTATTTCACCACATGACATATTTAGCTCTGGTCTACCTGTCTGTAAAGGCAAATAGATTCTGATGTCCACACTCTACTCTGTAAGTAGAGACACATGCATAAGCACGAGCACACCCAGAGCCCTAATTATGTACAGTCGAGCAGCTGTCACAGCAGAGACACATTCCTCTTATTCCCTGCAGAAAAGCTATTTTAGGAGATGAGTCCTTTAGGACAACAGTGAAATTAATACAAGCAGGAAGTAATTTTCCATGAAATAAATAATCAGTAGTCTGGAAGCAGCCTTGAAGCCCCTTTAGCCCTCTGCTGTAACAAGTTACAGTAGTGTGGTATTTTAAAACAACTAAGAACAGGGGCTTGGCTTGTAGTACTTAACTAACCAAGACGTGTTTAGTGTCTGAAGTTTGATTCTTTAGTTTTGCTCTGGAGCTGCAAGACTAATGTAGCTAAAATATAATGTAAACCAGTTAGCAAGAGCAGTGTTTACTTGTGCAGTAATCTCAGATAGATTGTTTTTGTGGTTTCTAACACAGTATGAAATACTGTAATCTGTAAGAATGAACAAAAGTATACTGCATGGCTGAAGTCAGCATCTTTCTTGAAGCCTGAACTTTGTTTGTACTTTTGTTCTTAATTTGATTTTTTTTGCTGAACTTCTTTCGCTATCACTTATGACGTGGTTAAATAAACCACACATCAACCACCACTCCGACAAATCAGCCACTATTCTCATTGTAGGGGAGTAGTCAACAGTTGTCTTATTCTGTTAGTGTCATGGTTCTTGACTTTGTTGCACTTTTTAAAAAGCGGTCAGATTTTCTGTTGATGTGGTCTGTGTAGTTGAATTATTTATGGAACACATTTTGTGTTCCATTCATCTTATATCAGATCTGATGTACTGACATCAAACCCTGTGTTTATGATCACTCTCTTCAGTGATAAACTCACATCGTGGGAGTGTAAGCTGGTTGTGGGATTAGAGAGAGAGAATGGCTGAGGGAAAGTGGGAGGAAAAGAGAGACAGAAAGAAGAGACCCAAATGAAGTGGAGGGAGAATTTTTCAAAGAATAGCTTGGTGTTGTTTTAATCAAAAGTTGTAGTAATTAATTGACAAAGTCTGTGATGTCGATTATGATACTCTATTGTAGGGGGAGATATTGGAAGGAACGTGTAAGATGAAAGGAAAAAGGCTTGAGATGTGATGAGATTGATAAAGGTGAATGAATCAACAATAGTGGAGTAGCTGTGTGTGTGTGTGTGTGTGTGAGAGAGAGAGTGTGAGTGGACTGTGTAAGCATGTGTGAGTAGAGATTCTGGGCCATGGCCCACTTGGCTCAGAGCCATGGCTGTTTTGCGATGCCCCAGTCTGTGCCCCGCCTGTATTATCTTGGAAGTACCACACACACACACACAAACACACACACACACACACACACACACACTCACGGACACACCACACACACTCCCTCCCAACATCAAAGTTCAGTACAGCTCTACACTCTACACTCTCCTCTCTTTTACGTTCATCCCAAGGTAGCTCTGCCTCCTAAGGCGGTGGTTCGGTATTGGAGGTCACTCCTTATTCTTCCTGGTGTCACCGTGGAAACTGAGAAGATTGCCACTGCATGCGGATTCTAGTGCTCACCACTAGAGGGCAGCCTATCACCACATTTTGTGGACCAGAAAGCGACGTGAATACTCATTTCATTGTTTACTTGTTTTTCAGAAAATTATTTGACATGCAGTTCAAGTCCTTAGACACTGCAGAGTCCTTTTGTTCTATTGAAGCATCTTTATACAGAGAGCACATCATTATTTTATGTATTTCCCTGTATGTAAATGTAAGTATGTAAGTAAATGACCTGCCTCACTGCTGATCCAGGACCTGTCTTAATGGGGAAAATGACTGTAGAATACTGTAACATATAGACACTGGTCTGTACTAAGTTAATTCTGGATAGATAGTAACTGAATCTTGTTTTATGCTTTCAGCATCCCCCTCCCACCCTTATACCCTCATACATGCTGCAGCCATAGTTTCTGTGTGAGTGTGTGTGTCTGTCTGGCTGTGACTCTGCTTGTGTGTATGTCTCTGCATATATGTGTACAGCTCTATTCAAGTTGGTGCTTTATTTTAAGTGATCCAGCATGCAGTGTCTGTATTTTTTACAGTTTACAGTTTTTACAAAATAAATTTGGAGTGAAGTACTTTACAAATGTGGAGCTCCCTCAGTAACAGTAGTCCTGTTTGAATCCACAGTAATGTAATAATACAACCTGTTTGTAGAGATGACAATGCGCTGTGTTGTTATTGTTATTGAGAGTGGACCCTGTGGAGTATTTCACAAAGCAAGAGCCAGATAACCTAAGCTGACAACTAATGATTGTCCAATAGGAATATCTCTCTGCTGTTTTCTTATTTGACAGACTTGATTTTAGGCTTAAGTTGTCTGGCTAAACTGAAAAATCTTGTTGATATAAACATACAGTCTGTTACCTTTCAGTCTATGACAATTTAGGAAAGGTTATTCCATACGATTTAGAGGTTCTTATGGCTAATGGAATACCTAGTTCCAGCTACTAGTATTTAAGTACTGAAAACACTGCTTAGATATTGGAAAACGTTGCATTATGAGAAATCGGGGAGAAAACATAAGTTGCATCTTTTGTGATTGTGTTGACATTCAGTAAATTTGTTATTGAACTTCAGTTCAATTAATTGTCTCTTTTTTTTCATATCATTTTTTATGACACATTTTTATCGACCTAAGTCTTCTTTTCCTTTATGATAGTTAACAGAATATCTGTTCATCAATGTCTCTCATACTTGAGTATCAGTATTAGTCAGAATACACATCCCTAATAACCCAAATCAGTAAAACCAAGTCAGATCTCTTACATTACACAACCACTCTCTCATTAAAAGTCTGACATTTCAGTTTGGAAATAAGCTTGAACACATAGGGTGTGTAAAATCATCATTTGACCCTTTTATTTGTTCGGTCTTCCACTTAAAGACCCCAAGACAGTGTGTATTGTATTCCAGCAGAGAGCTCTTGCCATAAAGTGAGCTGTGCACACAGACGTTTTGTGCATTGCCTTTTTTGTGTTTGTTTGGGCAGAGGCATCTTCCCTGGGCTTTGCCAGCTGAGCTGACACTCTCTTTGTTAAGGAGAATGCTGTTGCTTAGCTACCCCGCGGATAGCGTTTACCACAGCAGCCTCTGTGTCTCCACTCTCTTGACAGGGAAGACCTCTTCAGAAAGAGAGCATGTGTGAAAAACCAGCCGGTCTTTTTAAGAGCTGTTATTGATTTCACCATAAAGAACTTAGTGAATTTATAGAACCGTACTTCAGCTCTGGACACGTTGATAATTTCATTAGGTGGAATGTCAACAGAAACTGTCAGTTAAAGGGGAAGCGGCTGAGAGGGGAGTTTGCATACAATGTGATGTTGCGTTTGCAAAATAAGGTACAGATTTGAATATTTACACATTCAGGAATCGTGTCACTGGCAGCCTTCCAGAAATGGAGGGCTTCCAGTGACACGATTCACCCCAAATTTCAGTTTATTAATGACATAATTGTAATGAAAGTGTAAAATGCGTTCACACATTTCAGATGGAATTTGGTAGATCTTGTTCGGATTCTGTTTGAAAATGAGGTCCATATACAGTTACGTGTAGCAGACAGCACCCACTCCAGACTGAATTGGATTTGACATTTGAAGACTGAATTTTCTCTCAGTAGATAATAACAAGTTGCATATACCAATTAGCCAAAGGTGGACTATTTTCACAGGTATGCTTATTGGAATAATCAGTGGTAGAACCTGGTGGAGACCAGTTTTTCAATTTTCATTAAACCTTTTGAGTAATTTTTCCTCCCACAGGTACGTGTAATGACTACTGTCGGTTAATTTAAAAAGTACAGCAGTTCTGTAGTCGGCAGGCTAAATGAAATACTCAGGATTATTATGGAATACAGGTTTTTAAATTACAAGCCAACATGCTTTTCTGAGTATTTTGTGTATAGTTAGTAGTTCTTGAACACTAAACAACTGCATGTATCATAAAAAGACAGATTCAGACCAATTATAGAGAACCTGTGAACAACAGCAATCAGTGTTTAACTGCATAAACAAATAACACTTTAATTCTTAATGAGTAACAAGTAGCTGATCTGATGCCATTGTCTGAATTTATTGATTTGTTTTTACCAGTTGTTTGGTTTTTCCTCCAGCTGCTTCTGAACTAGTTTGAATGAAAAAAAAATATTGTACTGTATTGTAATTAGGGCCAGTTTTAATGGTAGGACTACTGGTACATTTGTTGCCATGTTCTGTCGATTCCAACTTATTTGCAAACCTCCATAAAACTAAATATTGGGATGTGAAAATTAGTATTGTACCAGCCCCAACCATTACAATTACTGTTACTGTATTTGTCTCCTTAAAAATGTTGCCTTGTAGTGCAGTGGCTTACTCACACTTTAGCATGTTCAGTCTCAAATGGCCACATGTCTCTTTGTTAATTATACATGTGTAAGTGAATACTTAATTTTTTTTTTTTTAAATTAGCCAAAATGGTCTCCTGTGTGTTCTCTGTAGTGCAGCTCGTGTAAGAACATGCTGGCCTGCCGTGTTATTTTAGTCATGCTAGTCGTGCTATTTAGCACTGGTGTCAGCTAGCCAGGCAGCTTTGGGTATTGTCAGCTGTCTGTGCAAAGTACAGAGAGGATATTGGACGAAGGGCTGCAACCAACTAGCAAGAGATTCGCGGAGAAAATAATGAAGCTCTAAAGAGAGGTAGAGATCAACTACAAGCACACAAAATATGCTTGCTATTGGTAATAGATGAAGAGTGGCAGTAGCAGCTGCTGACTGTAGCCGGGTGAGAAGCCACATGAGTTCACAAGTTGGGGGGTCATAGACAGTTACTGAGGTGCGGGGGAGCTGGTCTTCAAGGGTGTGTGTGCAAGGATGATTTCCCACAGCTGTCAGGGGACCCAAGCATTCTTCAAGCTCAAACAAGGCAGGCAAATGTGTATTCACATATTTCTGTGCATGCATGCTAATTTGTGACTTGGTACTTGTGTATAGTTTCTATGCATGTTCTGTATATCACACTTAAAACTAGTGTTCATGTTAAGTTGTCAGAACGGTGGCATGGTATGTTAGTGAATTGTGCCACAATCAGATTTCAGTCAGCAGAGTCTGGCTGCTTAGAACAAAGCTTGTTGCACAAAGACATAATTGCACTTCTGAAGCCATAAAAGGTCATAAGTGCACATCTCTATCTATACTACTGAAACTTTGAAACTTTGAAATCACCCTTCAAAAGACTGGAATTAGTGTTTTCAGTAATATGAAAGCCGATTGGTTGTAGATAAATGTATAAAATGATTCTAATACGCTATTCCTGTGCAACCATCATATAATCAATAGGAGGAGCTGTAGAAGAAAAATAAAGACGTGTCCAGAATCATCTGTAGATGATTTTAAAATGACTGAGAAAACTGTAACAACGAGAGTGAAGTTATAATAAAAGAATGATGTTATCCAAAATGGCAATAATTACAGAAGTGGTGATCAAATTTCAAGGAAGTTAACTTCGTTATGAATAATTATAATATATAGGAATGTGGGCTGATGTCAATGTTTTTTATTTTTTCTGATGCTGGTACGTAAACATTTATGAAATAACGTTTTATAATGGTTTATAATTTTTAGATTTTAGTAGAAATTGGGACTACATCCTCTTGGATTAGCATTACAGAGAAAAAGAGCACTTAATTGCCGAAAGTTACCAATGCAGTTAAATGAATACTGATAGCGTATTAAACATTCTGTGCTTCTGAAACACAACAAATATGCCATCGAGTTTCAGTATGAAATATTGGTCAAATCGGTCGGTTTCATTCCAGAATATTTTTAAGAAAATATGTGCCAATACCAGTGTGATTCTGTTATTATCATATACTACTAGCATGCTTGAAATATCTAATAAAACACTTTGTCTAGTACACAGTATTTCATTCTAGAATTATCAACATGACCAGTGTTTTCTGCTATCTATGTCTGTGGAGAAGACATTTTTTGGGATGAATTCTGAAGTGTGAGTGTGTCTGTTTGTATTCGTGTGTTTACACAGAAGACCACTCTAAGACCACCTTGATGCTGAACTCTGTGTGTGTGTGTGTATACAGGAGAGACAGAGGCTGGAGACCATTCTGAGTTTGTGTGCTGAGTATAATAAAGGAGACCCTCTGATAGACATGGAAACGGCGAGGGCAGGTCAGTTCCCTGGGATGGAGGAGGCGTCTGTCCTGCGACCCTGCCCTGACCCCGTGGGTGTGGCAGGGCAGCGCACACACACTCACACACACCGACAGAGAGAGAGCGATGAAGAGAACCTGAAGGAGGAGTGCAGCAGCACTGAGAGCCAGCACCAGGAGGTGAGACACACTTACACAGTAAATGCTCTTTCAGTCCTAAATATAAAATCCAAACCCCTCCCTAGTGTCTGTACTGAGTCACTTCTGCTGTCTCTTTCTACTGTAAAATACCTGTTAAAACTTTTCACACATACTATTCTGAGCCAACTGGGCGTAGGCCACCTGAGAAAACTATATTTAAAGCTAGTCATCTGGGAGTTAAGTGTTTATTTGCTTAAATAACACTAATCAAATGCAAAGTAAACATAATGGTGATTTTATTTTTCAGTGTATTAGATTAACCATTTTCATACCGCTCCTCAAGGCAGCCTATTATTTGTTTGGCTAATCAGTACTTCATTAAAAGCTCAAAACATACTTATAATAGAAGCCAGTAGGCAGTTGCATTGGGACCTGCCCATTAGCTTCTATTTTAAGTATATTTTAGGTCAATGAGTTGTCTATCCTTCTAGTTCAGAGGAACACATCAAAGGCTGTAAAATGCCAGAGAATTCCTTTATATTATATTCCATTAAGTTAAATCAGGTGTGCTGGAGGTGTAATTGGACAAATCTGTGCAATGGTTGAGATTCCAAGAAATGCTTGTTGCGTTTTACTGTTTTAATGTTTATTTTTATTTATTCTAATACTACTTGGGGTTATACAAGCAAATTCTGATTTACTGCCCTGATAAATAACCTAAAACGCTTTTCTTGGCTAGCCTAATGCTACATTTACATTATGACTCTAGATGGTCAATGACAAACTCGACATTCTGTTGTTTTCAATGATGCAGTGACGGTCAGCGGAATGTCAAAATGTTTTTCCAACTTTTGCCATCAGCCATGGTGGTGAAATAAATTAGATGTTGACTTTTTGTCAGCGGTGGATACACTCAGTATTGTACAATAAAAAAATCCAGGCACACCCAGTCTTATACAACAAAAATAATTTAGCCTTTTTACCCGAAATAAACAGTCAACACTGCAAACTCTCTCTGATAATAGTCCATTTTTGTCACTGTTACCATGGCAGTGTTTCCATGGCTGCATGCTGCTGTTGGTTGGAACAATGGTATTTTTTACGCCAACACGTAAACAAGACTTTCACACAGTACTATATTTTTACAACCCTTTCTCTGTTTCTCTCTCTGTCTCTCTCCTTCAGCATGAGGACACTGCTGGTCTGGGGCCTAAGGAGGCAGGCTATCTGGTAGAGGAGCGGGTCAGGGTTCTGGCTCGAGTGGATGAGCTGAAGGCCCGTGTCACCGAGCTGGAACAGCAGCTTCAGGATTCCAGACAGGAGGTTGGTCATCCAGCTAAACCCATCTCAGCAGTCCAACAATAAATGAATCTGCATTCACATTACAGGGTTCACATATAGCATTTTTTCAATCAGATTCAAGCCTCTTTCATATGTACTCCTAGATTGGATACATATTTAGTATTTGGCAACTGTAATAACATCACATTGAAAGCGGCAGAATCGTTGGAAAACATTGGAATATTCATAAACCATTGTCTTGTTCCAGAGGTCACTACTGTGTGTTCTTCTGCTAGTCATTAATTCATTAGGACAGAACTTAGGGACCTAACTAGCAGCTAACAACTGAACAGATAAACATTAAACTTGAAGTTTTAGCAGTTATCAGGTGCTGTTTGCTCTTACTGTAGGAATGCCTGTTGCAGTACTCAGTGAACCAAACAGAACCAGTAGGTTCTTTGTGTAAGTAGAGATACACCGAATGAAAATTCTTGGCTGAAACCAAAACTGAAATTTAAAACACTTGAACGAAAACCCAAAACTAAAAGAAATATTTTTTTTATTTGCTGTTTTATTTATCCTTTTAAATACTTAATATAAAAAACATAAAGTAATAAAAAATACATTTTTATTATTAATAAAATAGGCTTTCAGTAGGACAAAACTGAGCTGCCAGTAAATTAAAACATGATATTAAATTAAATTGATTAAATTATTGTAGTACGTGCTCATGAAATCCAGCAACAGAGATTGGCTGGTCATTCAAGGCAATGAATTACATTATTGTTTAGTTATATTTGCACTGACACTGTTGTTGGGATTTCTTTCTTCATTTCAAAACCTGAGCCTACAGATCAGCATCAGTGTTCTAGCAGGGGCTTCTGCTGTTTTGCTTTAGTCTGCGTATCGAAGATGTCATTTTTTCCAGTGCTATCAAACCTGTAGTGAAGTAATTCTTGAGTGTTGTACCCTCTCATCATACTGAGCATAAACAGTGATTACAAATTGCTTGTCTGGTGTCCCTCTTAGAAACCAAAAAAGTAGTTATACAGCTTTTTTTTAACTGTTTATCTGCTACTGCCTAAACTGTTTGAACACACCCGCGCTGACCAGCGCAGGAGTGCGAGGGAAAAAAACAACATTCATTTCTCTAATCATTTTTTTCTCATTTCCATTATCAATTCTATGGTTTCTTAGGTTTTAGGTTTAAAAGCTTCATGAAAGTCCTATTTAATCTTTTTTCTCTTTTTTTTCTCTTTTTAATTTTTTTCCCCTCTTTTTAATCTCTTTTTTCTCTTTCAGGTGAAAACCAAATGAGCCACTTATAGCCACTTTTGGCCAAAATGTTTCAGTGACAGAAATTTCTGTGCACCTCTAATTGTAAACAGTTCCAATTTGTTAACGAGTCGTCTTGTAGGCAAGCCATAAACAATATGAAAAATAAGTGGAGTGGTGTTTGCAGGCAGCTTTAAGGGTAATCCATTTTTACAAGAATAATCATACATGGTAGACAGATGTGGTATAGATATGGTAGATCTTAATAGATATTGTAGCTAATTATAGCAGCAACAGTAATGTCAATAATAGTGACTTCAAGTTTGTAAGGTCTGTGAAAAAAACGCTTTGATGAAACAATCTCTGATCTCTAATTTTATATTTTGATGTACATGAAAAGTGATTGAAACATTTATTTTTTGTTTTTTATTATTTTTATGAAACAAAATGATTTTTTTTTACTACAAAGGACTCTATGTGTTTTCCTGTAACTGCGCTTGTGTATATAACTGTCATCATTATCCAGTGTTTGTCATCAGTGGGAATTGATAGCAGCTCATGATGACAGAATGTGTGCATGCAAACTACAGAGGTGTGTTAACACTAACAAACAGATATGGATCACTAACAGATGTAAATGTGAACTGTCAATGCAGAAAAATCACATTCTAGTAAAAAAAGAGAATTGAGCAATATGTTTTTTAATTAAGCCTTGCAGAGCTTTTGTAGTATTATGGCACCAAACAAAAGACAGAGAAACATATAGGCCTAAAATTATTTCAGATTATTTCCTTGAATAAACTAGTTGGCCCCGTTCTTCCATTTCTCTATTTGAGTAACACCATAGAGGTTGGATGTTTACATAGCTAGATATGCTTACTGTCATTAGTGTTGTTGAATATTAATGAATGGTGTTGATATGAATAGTAAATTTTGTACAATCAGCAGAAGCACCGTCTTTAGGAATATGTTGAATGCTGAGTGTGTTTTCAATGTAGTTAGAGGGTAGAAGTAGAATTTGGGTCATTTTGAATGATAAGAAATTAATTACAACGTGTTTTTGTTACTTACAGCATTAATCAGAATTGGTCAGAAAATTGAATGGAATTTAAATATTATATAAATGTAACCGATATTTTGATTGAATGATTAGATGGTGATAGGAATGAGGATTTATAGGACATGCTTAGAGTGTTATCAGAACAACAGTTGTGTTTTGCTTTCTTCTGCAGGCCGAGATGGAGAGGGCATTGCTGCAGGGGGAGAGGAGGGCAGAGTTAGATCAAGTGGAGGCAGAATTGGAGATCATCAATCAGCTTCAGCTCAAACTGAGTGAAGTGGAGAAAACTATCCAGAGGGAGAAAGATAAGGTAAACAGTGTGCATATACCGCTTGCACAAGTTAATTAAGGCATCCCTTCCTACCTAGGAGCATTTTGCTTTGTCGTTAGTAAGGAAGAACAAATTTGCCTTCCTTAAATTTCCTGTTTCCTGCATTTTTCTCTTGAAAGATGTTTGTGGGCGCTCTTGTCTAACCTCTTTCTAACCTTTAACAACCTAACGCTATGCTTTCTCCAAACGGGGTTGTCTTTATTTGTGTTGTGACTGGTGTTTAATTGGGTGATGGGTTCAGAGAAAGAGATTTGTTTTTGGTGAACCATTAGTGAAAAAGGAGGGAACCCCATTTCCACCAGGTAGTAGGAAAAATAGTGTTTGTTTTTTAAAAAAAAAAATTTTAAAAATAGTGTTTGTTTTTTTCTTTGTTGTTTCTGGCAAAATACTTTAATACTGTCAGTAGACTTACTATCTCAAAATAATGACAGATTTTTTTTATTTTGGCTTGAGATTCTTGAGATTCTTGGTTCGTTGTGTAATATTTTGAAATACTTACAGTGACAAAATAGTAAGTTATTAAAGAAAGTATTTGTCAACACAAGAGAAAATGTCATTATTTTGTCACAATAAGTCAGATTTTTAACACAATAAATAAAAAGAGTAAGATTATGTCACATTTCACAGAACGTAAGACATTATTTCAACATAGTACATTGCTTCCGAAAGAGAAAGACTGAGATTGTATGAGGTCACTGCATGACATAACTCTTTCATGCTATGAATTTACACTATAGAAGAAGTGCAGGCTGCAGTATAAACCTCATAGACACAATATGAAAAGATTTATACGGAGGCCCTGGTCCTACCTCTGTATGGTGAGCTTTTGAGCAGTGTGTTATTTTTGTTTCTCCCTCTCCTCTGTCCCTGGCTGGCTCTGTGTTTGTGCATGTATGTGTGTGTGTTTGTGTATGTGTGTTGTTCCATAGGGGAGGGCTAATGTCTCGGCTGAGCGGGACATCCTGGCCAGGCTGAGGGATGGGTACAGTGAGCTGAAGAGCCAGCTTCACAAATGCCCCGAGTCTCTGAGGGAACACTTACAAGAACAGCTTGCCAGGGTCAGTCTTCACTCCTGCTGCCTAATGGAGTACAGAGTGCATACATAAGAGCTCGTTATGGATTAAATCGAGTCAGTCCAAGAAGAACCAAGGGAATAGTTAGAGTGAATAAGAAGTAGAGTAATGTGTTAAAGTCTTAGGCCACATGAGGAAATTGTTTATTACTGCCTATCTGGGCAGTAAGTGTATTTTTGCTTCTAGAAACAACATATAACATTACATTTTCTAGTTATTGATGTACACTAAAGAGCCAAAAACATTATGACCACTCACACTGATTATCGTGTAGCGACAACGCATATCAAGGTGCAGGACATATTAAATGATAAATGAATGGATGCGGAAAAAGTGTGTAAAGACCTGCCTTTGACAACGGCCAAATCAATATGGACAGACAAGTGAGTCTGCGCATGCCTGAAATGGCAAGGCTTGTGGGGGGCTTCCGGTCTACAGTGGTGAGTACGTACCGACAGTGGCCAGAGGAGGGACACACCATGATCTGGCGATAGGGTGTTGGGCGCCTAAGGCTCATTGAAGCATGAGGGCAAACCAAGTCTATCTCATCTGATCTGACTGACACAAGGGCTGCCATAGCACAAGTCACAGAAATTTTAATGGGAAGAATGTGTCATGACACGTGCTCATCATACTCCGCTGCATATAGGGCTGCATAGCTGCAGATGCTCAGAGTGCCCATGCTAACCTCTGTCCTCCAACAAAAAAAACCTAAAATGGGCATGTTAGTGTTAGAACTGGACCTTGTCGCAATCAAAGAAGGTAGCCTGATCCAATGAGTCCTGTTTTCTTTTACCACAAAGCATATTAAGCAGGTGGACATAATGTTTTTGGCTCATGGCTGTATGTATATGTTAGATAAAAGTAGGCTTGGCTCCTCTTCTCCTCTGTATTCCTGCCATTGATTTCTCCTGATTTAACTTATGGCAGTATGACATAATGAAGTATTGATTAGCCACAGGTTCTGGTTTCTAATTGTAAGTACTGGGGTAACACACAGAAACGCATAAAATCAGTTAATAAACTGATGTTTATTTGTATTTACTCTCATGTTAATGTTTTTCTGAGTAAATTTATCTTACTGCACAGATAAAAAGCTTTACATTTAATTTTTTCAGGTAGTCTTAAGACTTTTGCACAGTAATGTACATCTCAGGAAAGAACTAGTAATATAACAGTAACAAACTGAACATGTAAGAGGTTTGAAAAGGTGAAAAAAATGAACACAGAGAATGTTAAATGCTCTGAAACTTTTCTTCCATAACACCAACACCAAGTCATGTTTTGCACAGGAAAGCTTTATTGAAATAATGATATGTCTGGGAATGTTGGCTGTTTTTCCATTTTCACTCTTTTAATAGGCAGAATCACTCTTGTTTACTCCTGAGCATGTAGTTGTTTTTCTCAGTCCTTGCATGAAGTTCCATTACTATTGCACACCTAATCTTTATATGCTAGCAAATTCAGCTGCTTGCTTGCTTTGTATGTTTTAACCAAACCACCTCACTAATCGACTGATATCACACAGGATTCAAGGAGCCTCTCTTCTTCATCACTACCACATCTGAATGTTATTATGCAGTGTTTATTAAACCACGGTTTTGTGACTGGCTGTGAGAAACATAATAAAAATGCATCTGAAGGTGGCCAATCAGCTCCATCAAATTTGACAATTTTTAATTAGTTACCAAAATATTCAGTAATGTATGCAGAATTTATGGCCTAAAACAAAATGAGTTTCTAAAATTTGGTTTAAAAAAGTTCAGCATTTGCATATTCAGTGTATTTTTAAAAAGAATTCTGAATTAGACCAAAATAAGGGCAGATATTTACAGCTTTAAATGTAAACACTCAGAAACACTGTTTACCACACCGAGTGACCAGTGTGAGCTTGCCATTGAGGCTTTTTTTGTCCATCTGCCTGTTTGTCTTGTCCATCTGTTGGTCTGTCCCACTGTCTGCGTCCACTCTTTCCATCTCCCCCATCCATCTGCAGAAAGCAGAGGCGCTGGAGTCGAGCTCCAAGCGCTTTGAAGACCTGGAGTTCCGCCAGCTGGAGCGCGAGAGCAGCCTGGAGGAGGAAAAGGAGACACTGAGCCGGCAGCTGCTGCAGGAGAAGGCAGAGTACCAACGCAGCGTGGCAAAGAGGAAGGTATGATTGCAGGACGTTTTTATGAATCTTCCCCTAGTTCGGTCCCGTTCAGTCATTCCAAGCTTTTGTAGTTGGTAATGCAGGGGTTGACCTGAAGAAGGTGGTACAGATCAATGATCAGATTGGGACTTTGTGAGTCATGCCTGAAACTGCATTTAACATAAACCCCTAGGAGAAAATGGCAGCACTTGAGATTCAGGCCAACCAGCTAGGTGTGCAGGCGGCTCAGGACTGCGAGAGGATGGCCAAAGACCGGACCCTGGCCCTACAGATGCTGCAAAAGGTTTGCCTGAAACCATGACCACTTCATTCATGCTGAAATCAGTTTTTAGATTCTTTGCATGGTCATTTGCATAAACTTTATCTTAAGTGGGGCTCAACATATTACCAAATATCATTTGGCTGTTATTAAGGTTCTGTATGTTTATCAATAAAACCCTGATAAGTGTTGCTTTGAAATTGGTTGTTTTATATTATAATGAACATACATCTCTAACGTGAGGAAAATTCCTGATCTCACCAGTCACTTGTCACTTTTATTATAGTAGCCTAGGCTGAACTGGGAAACTTGAACACAAAACACCATCATGGTTAAAACATGTAAAACACATCCAAACCTAACGTTAAGAATTAGGATACACATTATAAAACAACCAAAAAACATTTCTCTGAAGAGAAAATTAACAGAAACCAGCCAAACCAATAAGAATATATATATGTTTTAGAAAAAATACCACTTTAGAAGCTTATGTAAATCTGTTTTTGTTATTCTGGGAAATTCTTACACTTCTTACTAAGAAACATATTCAACAGCCAGTGTAAATCTCAAATATTTTAATTTTTGCAAAATAGTAAAAACAAAACTGAACAAACAGATAATGCTGTCAGTACTGATTTTAACACTAGCCCTGTGGGCCTGAAAAAAATAGAGTTAAATATTGTTTAACTCTAAAGAAGCTCACTTCTTATTCGGCTGATTGTTGTTTAAATTTTCTGCTCCACCTTAAATGGTGCAGCAGTTATATTCTGACACTTGCACAGTATATTACAGTCCTTTATACTTCAGTACCAGCAGGTCCACAGCTTATTTCGTACACAAGGCCCCATGACCGTGGTGTTGTCTATTGCAGCCGACCGAGTCATGCAGCTTCTCAGCTCCTTAAAATTTGTATCAATATCAGTGACAAAACTGTCACAGTGGCCAGGCCACACAGGGTCTGGCATTGATTCTAAATGTGGCATTTGCATCTGTTGCTGTTGAGGACCATATCAGTGCCAGTGTCAGTAAAACAGACCCTCTTGTTTTAAAACATAAATCAATTAGATACACAGCCATAGACTCTAATTACCACATTTTGTATGACCCCTGTAGGAGAGGGAGCGACTGGCTGCCCTGGAAAAGAGATACTACAGCTTGACTGGGGGGAAGAGTTTCCCAAAATCCTCTACCACCATGAAGGAGGTGAGAACTCACTACTGGCACCAGCCGAGTTCTTTATCCGTCACAGGCTAAGGATCCAAGAATCTTTACTGCAGCGCTGTCTGATGATATTAAGCTCCTGTCACTCTTCACTGTCATTGATCTGACAGGCCCTCTTCTGTAGAGCAGAGTATATAGAACGGCTGCATGACTTGAACTTGTTTTCTTCTGGAGCGTCATCAATATTCATGAGTTGCTGTTTGTTTGATAGCTGGGTGCTTTGTACTGGCTGTTGAAATACTCACCCTTATCTTGTGTACTTTTCGTGGTGCTACTGGTATCTATAGGGATCCGCTTCACTCTGTCTCCGGGCAGCGATGTAAAAATTCAGTCTCGACTGTTGCCGTTGGCGATAAGCTCCATGGCAATGCCTCTCCGCTTGGCCATTAAATATGTAAAAGGAGTAGGGGGGTAGAATTATAAAGCACAGCGGCTTTTAGAAATGGTGCTCGTGTGTGTGTATGTGTGTGTGTGTGTGTGTGAAAACGACCCCCACCGTTCATTCTGACCTTGTGACTGATATTCAAAACAGGAAGTTCTACATATCAGCGAACCTGAACTTTACAATGAAGTCTCTACCCAGCATTCCCCACTCGCTGCTCCCTGCACCCAAAGCCCCACCTCTCAGACCTGCCCCATCAAACCTCAGGAGGTAAACGAGTGGCATGCTAGTGCTTTATGGCCTTCAGAGCCGATCTGGGATCTTTAATGTTACATTTATGATAAGAGAAAGGTGGTTGGTGGAGAAATGCTTGAATGGGTGATGGATTCATACAGGTTGTGAAGAATGTTTAAGTAACCTAACTCAAGAAACTTTAACCGCATGGTGCTTTACCATGATTTCTCTCCTCGTGTGCCCTAATCATGACTGATTGTGATGTTTATCTTAGTTCTAAAGCAGGTGCGTCTATTGTTGTAATTGTCTAACAAGATACTTAAAGAGATAGTTTGGTGAAAAACCTATTTACACAATGTTCCTCCTGTCCAAATGTAGTCGATAGGCCAAGAGCTCTTTGGTTTAGCACTGGAGCTGAGAGGCCAATTAAGCTTACAAGTAATAGAAGCCAGTGTCAACTTTTTAAGTAATCTCAAATAACGGACAAAAATACAAACAAAATTCAGGCTTCAAGATAGCTGCTGCTACTGTATTTATATCTATATTAGGTACTTTTTGGAGATGTACGATCTCAGAGGATATCAGAATTATTCTGGTATCAGCAGATAATGCAGCAGCTTAATCTTTTACGTGGCCATGGTTTTATTGCACACTTCTATAACCTAAGAATAGCTCAACCCGTTTGCATTGAAGTTACTGAATAATAAGCCATAGTATGTAATAAGCCTGGGATTTTAAGGGGTTAAAAAATTAGCATCGGACGGTTATATTTGACAAAAGTTTCAAACCAAAATTTGATGATGTATTTTTTTTATTCTGGAAGAAGAATGTTTAGGTGATGTTGGGCTACTGTAATAAAATCTATGTAGTTTGCATTTATTTTACTGAATTTGTAACTCTATAGGAATAAATGTTATTTCTCTAAAGTGCTAATACAGGCAGATGAATTCCAAATGTCTACATTTTATGAATGTTTATATTGACACATAAGCATATACATACAAAAAAAATACAAAAATAAACATGAAAATATCAGATATCAGCATTTAATGCTAGTACTTATGTCCATTTTATAGACAGTAGTATGTTGTAGAGAGTCATAAGAACATTTATTTGAGATTACTTTACAACTTGACAACTTGAGGCTTGTGTGTGATTTAGAAATGCAGTGTTGCATGATGATAGTTTAAGCTTCCATTACTTGTTAGCCACATTAGGCTTGTAGCTCAAATGTAAAATTAAAGAAGCAAACATCGAACACCAGACGTCTTGGCTGATTGACCATGTTTGAGGAAAGGGTGAAATTTTGTACATTCAACAATAGTTGCCAAACTATTGCTTTAAAGTAGTAATATATTGATGAAAATAGTTGTGCATGTTTTAGTGTTGTCCTGGCTTGTTTGGTTGTCTTTCCTGTGAACTGTGTAATGCATATACAGCTGACCATCTCTTGTGGTTCAGTGTAAAGCCTGATAAACATGTATACTCAACAGTTTCAGTGGACACAGGCCTTGTTCCTGCATGACTTAAGCTCTGTTGTTAGTCATTAGTTGTAGGCAGATATTTTAGAGACCGTGGGAGTATTTTCATGTAGGAATGCAATTATATATTATATTCATAGCATGGTGTGCAGGGGTGTAACAATACACAAATTTCGCAATATGATATTCTTTGTGCTTTCTGCAACACAATATGGCACATTGTCAATATATATATAAAAGTGCAAAAGAAATGTACTGACACATTGATTTTGCTTTTACTGTGCAAAAGTAAGAAACCACCATTTATTTATTACATTTCCAGTCAAAACATTAAATACAGTTATTCATTTTTTTGGAGATATTTTTAAGAAGAGAAGATGTGCATAAGCAAGGGGAAAGTCAAAGGAAAGTAAATTACATTTATTTTAAAACCAGGAGTTTTCAGAACAAAAAAAATAATAATAATAATGCCAGAAAAACATGGAACTCCTAGCAACCATGCAAGACCTGGTAGACCACCAAAACTATTACAAGATAAACAGTACTTAAAGCTTTCATCCTTGTTAAAGTGGAGAAAATGAAACTCAGATCTGAAAAAAATCCACAGTTGTTTCTGTCCATCCTTCCATTGTGAGGAGACAAGTCAGCGCTACGCGTATGAAAGAATCTGTAGCTGTCAGCCGTTTCTAAGAAAAAGATATATACAAAAAAGAACATGGGCAAAGTAAACAAAGAAGTTGTTGGTGTTCAGAACAATGGACTGTCCAACCCAGAGTCCAGACCTCAATATCACTGAATGTGTTTGTGATTACTTGGATTGTGAGATCCAAGTAAATGTAACCAACTTCTAAGACTGAACTTTGGACATGCTATATATTTATTTGTTGAGGCTTCAGTACAATCTTTTATGAATATGTGTTTACTTCTTTTTTCCCGGTGCTGAAAAATGACAAACTGTACTTATTGACTGGAGATTAAATGAATGAAGGGTGATCTGTGACTTTTAGACAGTTCTGTATATTGCCAAAACGAGCACAAAACAAAGCTTGGTGAATGCATAATTAACACAATCAAGTACTTTCCTTCAAAATTATCTTTTAGGAGGGAACATTTTTTAATAGAACAGCTGAAGAAATTTATGTCAGTATATGTGACACCGCATAAAATGTGACGGACTTTGAGTCACAGCTCGCATTGTCTCTCCTCCCCTGTATCTACAAAAATTAACAATAGTATGTGTATTGTGACACCCCTTGGTGGGCTTGTGTTATCTAGTGTGTATGTGAGCATGTACTGATGTGTTCCTGCTGTTGGCTATTCTGTAACAGTAGATTCAGCAGTATATGGTAGCTGACCTGTGAACTAGTGTTTTTTTGTGAGTGGATTTTGTACTGTGTTTGTTCAGGAGTACCTCAGACTTTCAGATGTATTTAAGATGTATGGCAGTGGTTGCATTCCAGCCCCAGCCACCTCCCCTGCTCCTCACACTCCCTGCCTCTCTCTTTCTGTAACACCAGATACCCCTCGCGAGGTATGATTTTGCAGCTCTCTTTCTCTTCCTGTGCATTTCCTACCCATCTCTTCTACAGTAGCAGTCAAAAGTTTGGAATGCTGGAAAAATATGCTAACAGCATTGAAAAAACTTTGGCCGTTAATCATGTATTGCGTTTACACATTATTAATGTGCTAACATTGTCACCACTAATAAACAGTGACATTGACATACATTCGCATGCAAAAGTTTGAAAGTATAATTCGAAAGTTTGGGAGCAGAAGTTAAAAGTTACAATCTTTTCTATAAAATGAAACAAAAATGCAGATAAATGTATGAAATGATTCTGTGACTACTCTGCAACTTCACAGATTCCAACTAATTAGTAGGAAGCTGTGACAAAAGCAGAAATGTTAGATGTGTCCAGAATGATGAAGAGGTCTAGATGATTATATAATGACTGAGAAAACTGTAGAGCATTGGGAATTAAGTATATATTGAAATTAACATCCAGAATGCATCGTATTTGAAACGTGGTGGTCAAATCTCAGGCAGTTATTAACATGACAAGTGATTCCAAACTTATGCCTTCTTCTCAATATATTAAATACCCCCTCAGCAGCTCTCATCATATGTGGAACTTCAAATCTGTTAGAAAAGTATCCCAAGTGGCTTTTCATGAAGCTGCTTGAGAGAATGCCAAAAGTGTGTAAAGCTGCTCAAGGCAAAGGGGGAGGCTTCCTTGAAGAATCCGCAGTAGAAGATTTGTAGTTTGAATTTGTTTAGCACACTTTTTAGGGCACTACGTAATTTCATATGTTATTTCATAGTTTTGTTTGTCTTCACTGTTAATGTGAAAATATGGAAATAGTACAAATCAGGGAAAAGCTTTCCATAGGTAGATCCAAACTTTTGACTGATACACAGATGTATTCAATTCTTATTCTCATTCCTTCTCTTTTTGCTTCATTATCTTTCATTAAGATCTCAGACTGATCTCCACTCTCTCAGTTTTCTCTTTTCCTTTCTCTCACTTACTTTTCCAACCCATTTATCTCTCACTTTATTTGCTACTGCCACTTTTGCCTTCTTTTCAGTGCTTTCCCTGTGTCTATTTACTGCTTATTTGGTGTTTCTAAACATAGTACCCTTCTATTTTTTCTGCTTTTTACCACCTAAAACACATTCACCACATTCTCATCCTGGTGTTTGTGTGTGTGTGTGTGTTTGTGTGTGTGTGGGCGCACGTATGTGTGTGTATGTGTGCACAATACTTTGTGTAAAGGAGTATGTGACAGTTAGTCAATTAAACCAGATCTTTGGGATGCCCAAGGCCGATCCTTCCCCAACGGCTCCTGTCCAATCATTCCAAGCTATTGTAGCTGACCCCGCCTTCTGTAGCCACATATCAGAGTGTGGCCCAGTCCAGTCTCCCTCTGCTGAGGTGTGTTTACTTCCTATACTGTTTTCTGTGATTTATTGTGTGCTTTCTAAAATTCTAGTGTCATCCTAGTTAACATCATCATAAAAATACACATAAATACATACAAGGGAAAAAGATACCGATGGCTTCATTTATATTGAGTACAATGGGGTGCAAAAATGCATTGATGCGTCATGACGTCTGGTTTGAAGGTTATAATTCATCGTTATTAATCAGTTATAACAATAGTCAAATGAAGTATGCTCTGGAGAAGTAAATTACTAATTGAGCAACCATTATCCAACAAATTATTCTATTTGAATGGGTAGGTATGTCATTCAAGTTGAGGAACATTATTGAATTGTGCGCATGAGGGCACAATGGGCAGTTGGCTCCACTAGACAGGCCTACTACAAAAATGAAGTATGCAGCTAAAAATAGTGGTGATCACGTTTTGAGAAGACAGTAGTACAATTGCAACAACGTACCATATCGAAAGCAAACATCTGCAAGCGATAAGACAGACACCTACTTTGTCCATGTTCTCAGAGACAAAGTGTGATGCACGGTGGTGTGAGAAAAAAGACATGGTGGATGGCAATGGCTTTTAAAAGCTTATATTATAGTTGTGAGCCCCTCAGTTTAGTCAAAGCTTGGTTCTCATGTAGGGCTTGTTTAATATGGTTTTGAGCTGTTTACTTCATGTACACGCTGATGCCTAGCCCCATCTATCTAAACTGGGTTTTTCTGGGTTTCACTTTTTTATTTCTTTGTGCATTCAGTTGATATGTGCATTAAGAAGTATATGTATATCAAGTACTTTGCAATGGCTTTAACCGTCGTTCAACCAATCAGATTTTAGAATTAACTGTCTATAATTGATATTTTTATGGGTTGCATTCTTCATTTTAGGCTTGCTGATTAGCGATTGATTGTCACATAATGACGATCTGTTCCTGTTGTATGTGTGTTTAGTAGGTTTTAAAAATAATTAATTTGTATTGTGGTAAAAATTTAGATTTCATGATGCAATGAATTGTTTTGAAAAGAATTAGAATCAGTCAGAGATTTGTACTTTTAGTAAAGATCTACTACAGTTTTCTAGTTGCAGTCTTCAATTGCAGATCTGTTTTCCTCTCTGAAAATACGGCTACATCTGTTCGATCATTCTATTTCCTCCTTCATTTCTTCCCTCTCTACTTCCTCCCTCGTTTCTTTGCCGTGCATGTAAGACCCAGGCTGAGCGAAGCAGGCCTCTGGCCCCCAGGCTGGATTTAGAGCGCTGGTACCAGGACATCATGGCTGCTGGAGAGCCGAGCCATGCTTGTCCTCCTCCTCTGCCAGCTAAGTCTTTCTCCACACGCAAGCCCACGCAGGTAAACTCCACTCTGCTGCTTTACGTCTCTGTGGCTTCATTTTTTCATGTCCATCCCTGCACCCTCTGTCCCTTTCTGTCTTTGCACAAGAGTTATCGCCCACTAACAGTTGCCTTAGCTTCTTAAAATTGTTACTTGGAAAGTGTCGTTTTGTGTTGTGTTAAAGACAGACATGGCACAGATCTGATGTATCGATATAATGCAAGATACTAGAGAAAGAAAGAAATAATCCAACACAATTCTGGAATAAATCTAGCCTGAAATATCAGAATGAATTATTATATCATTATCATATCTTTATTATCTTTGCCCAACATAATGTAAAGTAGGTCACATGGTAACAGTAACAAGTATTTGTTTAAGCAGTTTGAGCATGGCACTAACAGATGGCCATCTTGAAATGCTTTAGTTAAAAACAAGCCAGTTTTAAAACTTAGTAGGTTCTTTTTTAAAAGAATCAGTATCAGCTACTACTCAAGCTCAGCATCATATCGTGCCATTTCTAGTTAAAGCCTTTTTGGTCACTTGTCTCTTTGTTGTCCATGATGATTGTGATTGTCGCTGTGGTTATAGTGCTGTATATCTTGCTGCTTTAGTCTGACAGAGTTTCTCATGGGTGTGTTCTCAGATGTACAGGTGTAAGCAGGATGGAGGGATTTGTCAGACTAACGGCTCCACACAGCCCAGCACAGCTACACCGGGCAGAAACACCCCCACTAAGGTAACACAGAGAACCTGCTGTCCTTCACTGCAGTCTCTTAAGTAAAAGGACTGGCCTTGTTCTCTAGCATACTGGCTTTGACATAAAATAATTATGAAGTTTTTTGAGAGTTTTGGAGTGTTTTTTTAGATTTTTGAGAGTTTAGAGTTTTGAGAGTTTTTTTATTTTGTGTTATTTGAACCATAAGAGAATCTTTTTTACATGCCAGTCCTATTTCCAGGACCATAAGTAAATAAATAATTGTCTGTTGATGTGTTTCTTGGCCAGCTGTGTGTCCTTGCATCAGTTGTGCAGATTTGTGATGCACCAATATGGACTTTCTGAGCCAACAACTATAACGGATAATTAACAATCCATATGAGAAGTACAGTGAGTTTAAAACAGATTAAAACACCAGATTAAAAGCTGGATAATTGATTGTTTTTACATGGTGATGACACAACTAAATGAGTGTAATGACAATTGTTTGCATTTGCATATTTAGCAGAAGCTCTTAGACCGACTTTCGCCTAATTGAATGTTAAGAATCCAGCAAGGACTCTTATTCAGAGTTCCTGCAAATCATTAAAAAGTCTTATAAAGTCTTAAAATGTCTGAAATTGTTGTATACTTTACTATTAGAGGTGTTAAATTCTAAGATAATGGCTAAATACCAAGATGAAATGAATCATCAAAGTGGCCCAGTCGCCTGTGTGTATGGTCACATTAGCAGGTGTCAAATCTCCTAATGTTGCTTCGAGTTTGTCTCTTGTGACTGTGCTCTAGGCGTTTGTTTTTGCATGTTAGCGTGTGCTGTGTTGAGCTGCTTCATGAAAATGTAAAGGTATCTGTGGATGTATCACCTTTTTTTAAATGTATGAACCGCAATTCTAAGTTTATAAGTGTCTCTTTCATTTTTTGGTGTGATACTATTAGGAATAGGAACCGAAATGGCAGTAAGAACAAAAAGTTCAGAGAGCAGAGGCTGGGAACCTCAGACCTCTTTGTGTACGATTGGTTGAGAAATTTCAACCCAGCTTTGTTGCTAAATCGTGACTACAAATCTAATATACCCATAGAAAATGACCAGTTGCCTGTCATTCTATCACCTACTAATGTCAAAGTACTATAAGTTCGCCCTGTCAGTAGGAGAACGCAAATTCGTTCTCCAGCAACGACACTGCCATCCATGGCCAGGAGTCCAAGATAATATAATAGGCCCCGTTGTCTCTGGGTGTGTAGGATGGCCCTCTCGTTCCATCACTCAGCACGGCACTAGCCAACGTGGGCATCTGTTGGCAGATGTAACAGAATTGCCAGTTAGTCTTCTCCTTAAAGCGTGTTGAACTACCCAACGATGCTGCAGGTTGAAAAGATGTTGCAGCTGGCATAACATGACCCATAATAAAGATGCAGAACTGTGTAAAGAGAGCAGTTTGTGTAGTTAAATAGTGATATATCAGAAGTGTATATATACATGCTTGATTTTCAACCGATCTGTTTACTAGTGATAATACTTATATGGAAATTGTGGGCACATAGTTTTTTTATGTGTTTATCTGCTGATCCCAGTGCCGATGCAGAGAATTTAACATTTATTGGGATTAGCATTATAAGGAAATAGAATTTTGTTCTGGAAGGTTACATATGCAGTAAAATGAATAAAATGCATTTTAGAAGACAATTTAGCACAGTAGCCCAGTGTGACCTAAACATTCTGCTCTTTTGTATGTCATTAAATATCGGTTTGAAATATATAGCTCTGATCTAAACGTCTGTCCCATGGCAATAATTTTTTAAGCAAATATTTGCTGAAATCAACATGATTCCGATATTACTGCTTATCTTTAAGTAATACATGCAATATTTGTGTTTGTGTGTGTTGCCATGAGGAGGAAATCATATCAGCAACCCTGTTATTGGTATAAGAGTAGCATTTCTGCCTGGACCAGTAAACCCCAGTCTTCCTTGTGTGCCCACTGTGCCGTTCATTTCTGTGAATTTAAGAAGACTAGTCACCATATGCGTTTGCCTTTATGAACATAAAGTTATCGGTTTTAATTTCCAGTTGTAATAGAAATATTATACTGATAATAATAAAGAAAAATTAGCCAGTAATATATTCCAAACCCAAAATTAAAATGTCTAGAGTTGATTCAGTGGCATTTACAGGTGTAGGCTGCTGCTGGTGTCTCTTAAAATGAGAACCAAAAAGTGTTGATGCCAGAAAAGCAGGCCATTATGAGTAGTGGAAATGAACACTGGGCCAAAAACAGAAAGCTGACAAAAAAAAAAACAGTTTACATACTTACTAAAATTATTACAGTATGTAGACTACAGCTTGTGCCACTAAATGAAACGTCCTAGACAACAGAGAATAATTGCACATCCAAGGCAATGAATTCTGTTATTTTCTTGTTAGACTTTGCTCTTTGGCACTGTTGAATAAAACAGTGTTTTTAATCACTACTTCTCATTTTATTTCACAATTACCATTACATTTAGATTTACAGCATTTAGCAGACTCTCTTATCCAGAGCGACTTACAAAAAGTGCTTTGTCTATCTAGAGAAAGTATCTTTGCTAGTTACAAATAGGTTGGAGAGAAATCTAGTCCTGAGCTCAGATACTGCAGGAAACAAAAGCCCATGTTAATACCTAGAGAAAAGAAACAGAGTTAAACACAGCGCAGTGCAATACAATACATTGCAATAAGTGGGATACAATACATTACAATGAATACTTAACTCAGTGCTCACTTAAACATTATTTGTATAGCCTTAGATTTTGACACCTCATTGTATGCTTGTTGTTTTGGGTCAGAATTTTTGGCTTGCTTTCTCTTTCAAACGTTTTTGATTTCTAAAAGTTCGTTGCATTTCTTGTTATGAGATCAAAGTGATGCAATGAGTAACGTGTGGAGAAAAAAAACAACTGCTCATGATCCACTGATGATGTGACTGCCATAAAGCATGCTGTAAAGCATATGGAACTACATTATCTGCCCAGATCCAAACAAAAACCTCAAAACTCAGTGGACGGCTCTAAACATTGCACCAGGAAACATACCAAAATATACTGTGGATATTTTCAGACCCAAAATGTGATATGTTCTTGACTGGCCAAGTCAATCACCTAACCTGAACCCCACTGGGTATGCATTTCACTTACTGGAGACAAGGCCAAAGACAAAAGCCCAAAACAAGCAGGAAGTGAAAATGGCTGCATTTACAGGTCTGGCAGAAATTCACCAGGGAAGATACCCAACATTGGGGGATTGTCTGTGGATTGCAGGATTCAGGCAGTTACTGATTGCGCGGCAAACGCTAAACATGACAATTTTATTTATGTTAGTTTGTCCAGTTACTTATGGTTATGTACAAAACAGGTTGTGATTCCATAAATGAAAGCCAACATTCTGTACTTTAACCTCATAGTCATTGTTGCGTTTCAAATCCAATGTGCTGGATTTTGGAGCCAAAACAACAAATGTTGTCACTGTACAATTACTTACAGGCTGCATTATGTTACCTCTAATGATATTACCTCCATTTTGGTTAAAGATTTTGTCATAGTCGTTACAGATGCTGTGTTTTGCAGCGTCCAAACTGTCAGAGTTGTCTACTACTAATTTTTGCAGGGCCATGTTATGACAGCTGTTGGCTCAATCTGTGGCAGCCAATATCTTATAATGGTCAGGCTTGTCATTGCAGATCTTTCACTTCAAATTACATGTGTAGAATTATCGTTCATTACCACCCTGTTCCTTAACCTCCAGAGCCTGCCAGACCTGTCGACCTCGCATCTGGACACAGACACCAAGAGACTCGCTCTGGAGGGCAAAGGTAAAAAAGCTTGCCAGTCACAAGAGTGTCATAAATGTCATAAGAAAACTGTAAACAGTAATTTGATAGAAAAAATAACAAATATTCTTAACATAGCCAATAGACTTCCATGTATTCCAAGTAATTTTGGACCATGTCTATCAATTCATTTGTCATGAAATGTTCACACAATGTGAAAGGCAGCTGGCAAATGGTACAACACAATAAAAACCAAAATAACGTTACAAGGCTTTCTTGTGACAGTAGCACTTGTGTATATCATGCTGAGTGTTAATTGCTGCCTGTACACATAAAGGTTCAGGACTCTTGAAGCTGTACTGTGTACTGCAATTGGAAAAGAGCTTCTAATAAACAAGATACATATAGGTACTTCTCATTTGTTCTCTTGTCAAGCTTCACCTGCTCTCTATACGCGTCTCCCCAGGGCTCCAAACATCTGACGACTCCAGAATCCGCCCCATGGATCTGAAACAGAGGCTTGACATGGAGCCCCAGTTCCACTGGGGGGCGCCGCAGGGCTCGCACCCCCAGCTCACCGGCCCTTACCCTTCCACAGGAGGTCCCATTGTGCACCACTCCATCCTGCACCACCAGGTGCCCTCAGCAGGCGGCCCTGCGTACGACACTCTGAGTCTAGAAAGCTCAGACAGCCTGGAGACCAGCGTATCCACTGGCAACAACTCTGCCTGTTCACCCGAAAGGTGAGAGACAGTTTCCATGGGAACGTTGGTCTGCCTCTGTTCCCCTGACAACGGGTCATCCTGCCCAATTTCCCCCTAAATGTCATTTTTTGTGGTTCTCTCCTTTTGAAAAGTTGCCCAGCCTGTTGCCATGACAACCCCCAACCATACAAGAGACAAGAGATTCCTCACCTGTTCAGAGTTGTGTCTTGTCCCGAGGCGGAACAAGGGTAGACTGTCATATTATGTATTCCCCCGTAGTAGGGGAGGATTCGGGTATTTTGTCAGCCGTGAGAGGATGTTCTCTTGATGCCAGCCTACTTTTCAATTCTAGTAGTTAGATTCGGAGCTCAGAAAAGGTTTTGGCTCCATTTCTCACCAATGTTTTCATCCCCTTTGAAGTTTTAATATGTCAGAGCTACAGCCCCGGGTCCCGACCTACGGTCAGCTTCCCTTTCTCTGTTTGAGATAGTAAAACAAACCCTAACTGAGCGCTAGCACTTAGATCAGTTGTAAAATGTTGGCTGTTCCTTGCCGAATGAGTTGTAGTGGGGAAAGAAATCTAGTTTCAAACAAGCGCTTCCAACAGTCTGACATCCTTCTAGCAGCTGCTCCAGTTGCATAAAAAAAACACAACCGGTTGAACGTAAGCGCTTATGTTCGTCTTTGAGCTCCCACAGTAACAGTGCGGCTGGATGTGTTTGTGTCTCAGTGGCAGCGGCCTGGCCGGGCTGAGGCTGGAGGAGATGGAGAAGATGTTGAAGGAAGCTCAGCAGGAAAAGGCCCGACTGGTGGAGAGTCGTGTGAGTCCCATTAAACTTTAATTGTCTGCGAAATATAATCTCTCTCCTGAATTTTAAAGCAGAGCCTCAACTCCCTCTGCCTCCGCCGCATTGAAGATTGTTTCTTACCTACAAAGGGTGACTGACATGAAAGACGGGCTCTTAACAAGTTCTCCTACAGTAATACACATATTGACATTCTCCTGTGAAATTATTTTTTCATACATCCCCAGTCACTTCTCACTGTGTGCTTTTGCAAATGTATTTTTTTCCTCCTTCAGCCTGTTTCATCTTCTCACTATTAGTTCAATGCCCTTCTCTCTCTCTTTCTCTTTCTCACTCTCTCTCTCTCTCTCTCTCTCTCTCTCTCTCTCTCTCTCTCTCAGGAGAGGGAGGTGCAGGCTCGGAGGCAGCTGCTGGAAGAGGAGAGGAGGAGGCGAGAGGAGGTGGAGAGGAGGCTGCAGGACGAGACCGCGCACCGGCAGAGGCTTGTGGAGGAGGAGGTCAAGCTGAGGGAGAAACACTGTTCTCAGGTCAGCACAGGGCTATGAAAGGGAGCAGACATGAAAGAGCACCAGCTGCTTGGAGATCAATTGCACCCTCAGAGTGCAGCTTGCCTGAGAGTTCTTTCAGACATAAAGCGTTGGAGGGCTTTTTGCTCTTTTAATGTCCAGAGTTTGTGTTTGGTTTTAGATCATTATTCTATTTGTCAGGTACCATATACAAAAACATTAATCTCAAGTGGCTGAAAAAAATGTGTTTCGAATATGCAGCCTTGGGCGGAAAGATACGAAGCACAAAATACACAATATATACAAATACAATAGAGACAAATGCAATACAAGATTGAATAAAAGCACACCTTGATAATCACAGTTGTTAGTTTATAAAGATAAAACTCAAATCACTGCTGACACAAGAAATGCTTTTTTTTCCAAACTATTTGAAAATGACAGCTGCTCTTTACATTGCATGAACATCTCATGATGAATGGACCAATAGAAATTGCATACAATTATTTGGAATAATATTAATTGGCTGTATTAACTAAAATGTGTTAATGTGTTAAACTAAAAGTGTTTTTTCCACTAGTGATGGAATAGTCCTTGGTCCAATTAAATGAAGGAAGACACTGATTACTTAAATTCCATTTTACTTAAAGGAATAGTGGAGTACTGTGCAATAGTCAGTGACTTCCCTTCACTTATTTAATTTCCAGTCAAAACAGCCATTAAGTGCAAATGATTAATTGTTCCATCTGGAAAAAAACAGCACAAAACATATAGTTAACTGAAAATAACAGACGCCTCAGCAACTCAGTATTATTCACTTTTAAAAAAACTTTTTAGTGTGTCTATCCTTTGCTTTCATTACAGCTTCCATTCTTTTAGTGAGACTTGCTTTCAGTTTTCCAAAGTTCAGTCTTAGCAGTTGGTTGCATTTTCTGCTTTTTCATGATTAAAGTAATCCCAAACACATTCAGTGATGTTAAGGTCTGGACTCTGGAGAGTCCTGTCCATTGTTCTGAGAACACTGACAACTTTTCTATTACTTAATAGCTGTATTGACTGGAAATTAAATAAATGAAGGACAGTCTCAGACTTTTGCATAGTACTGTATAAAAGTATGTACAGGTTTTCAGATCAGCTGGCATTTTATTCCATTGCTTAATAGCTTCAAATAAAAGGAAGCACTTAGAAAGACAGGCTTGCGCACTGATCTCAGAGTGACAGAGCACTCACAGCTGTAACCGTATCAGTAAAAAGTCAATCTAAAGAGCCATGGGGTGGGGTGGAAAATAAATTGAATCGAATGGCTAAGTGACTTATCCCTGCCTACAGCGTGGAGGTCAATGAACGTATGCAGTAAGCAACCAAAGTCAGGAGTGGGAAGTCTTTATCAGGTCAACTTGTGAATCCTGGGGGTGGAGGTGGGGTAGGGGGGGAAACACGAAGGTGAGGGGTAGGTTGCTGTGGGAAGAGCGCAGGGGCTGCACCACTCTGCACAGCAGGCAGATGAGAGGAGACATTCAGACAGATGGTGAGAGGAAGACAGGATGAAAAGATGAAAAGACGAGAGGAAAAAGGAGGGGCGGAGGCTGAGGCGAGGAATTACAGAGGGCAGGGCAATACCGTAGGACGCTGTATGAATACACCTTACAAATGTATTCCGAGCCGTCCACACAGATATGGAAATTTGGAAAACGCTGTTCGGCGAGTAGGTTGTTTAAAAAAATGTTACTATAAAAACACCATGTGTACATGCTTCAAAAAGGACTTACTGTATAATGTATTTTGTCACTTACATTGTTATGGAAAATTACCGCACAACAAGTAGTAATTAGGGCTGTCAGTAATAATTAAAGAAGTAATCAAGTACTGATTAGTTTTGACAAATTGTAAAATTGTAAAGTTTTTAAAGGCCAAACAGTAACAATGGACTTAACTGAATGATAACAAACCATGTATAAACTATCAAAAAATCCAAAACAATGCATTGTATGAAAAAAAGAGATAAACTAGGTAGCCTGTAAAAAACTTTATACCAACTTTAAAGAGATTATATCTTGAAAAAATATAAATAAATATCTAAAAGAAGCCAAAAATGGAGCTCAAGAAATGGGTGTGTTCATCAAGTTCTGTTTCTTACTGTAAGAGAGACCAGTAGGAGGGTTTAACATGCGTAATCATCATACAAACTGCAGACTAATCACTGCTGATTCATCAAAAAGAGTACAATCTAATTTCTTTTTTTTTTAAATCAAGTAATTCTGACAGCTAGTAATAAATAGTACAATAGTAATAAATAAATATTGTGCACATTTAATATTTGCAACAGTGATACGTTAGAACAATAACAATAATATTTATTAGATAATAATATTGTGTTGTAAAATACATTGTTAATAACTTTTTAGAATCATTTCCAGTTGGAACTAGGCTATGAATATGTAATATCACCATACTTAAAGAAATTTTCATGATGCAGCGTGTCACAGTATTTATTTTTTTCTGACATCTAATAAGTTGTAAGAGACTAATTACTGCCACTTAAAAAAATTATCAAAAATATAAATTCAGTGATTTGTTTTCAGCATTTCACACACTGTGCTGCCCTTAATTCAATTAAACAGGCCTAAATATGCCCTCTTTCTAATTAAACATGCAGTTGGGAAGTGTTTCTTTCAAATTACTGATGATATCCACAGTATGCTCAGAGAACAGTGTGGTGACATATTGTGACATAATTTAATGTTAAATATTGTCATATTGCCCAGCCCTGCTTACAGTACACATTACATGTGTACTAAAAAGCCTGCATTGTAAAAAATTATCTAATGTTTTTGAAGTTACTAGGCTGCCTTAGAATTTTTAATTAAATAATTAATTAACTTCAAATAATAGGTTAACAGAATGTAAAGCACAGATTGTTGTTGTTAACTTGCTATTAGAATTTCAATTACCTCAACATTTTAAGGCAGCCAGGTTACTTTTTAAGTTAAAAGACTGAATCTTTTTTTTCAGTGTGCCCAAAAATTACAGAACCTGTTCCTCATCTAAATCTAAACTCCACCCTCTCCCAGGCTCGTCCAATGACACGCTACCTGCCCATCCGAAAGGAGGAGTTTGACCTGCGGTCTCATGTGGAGTCAGCGGGTCACTGCGTGGACACCTGCCCCTATGTCATCGTCACCGAGAAAATGTGCAAAGGCCACTTGGTTAAGATGGGCGGCAAGATCAAATCGTGGAAGAAGCGCTGGTTCGTCTTTGACCGTCTAAAGAGGACCTTCTCCTACTACGTGGGTAGGTGAATAGGTGGTAGCTCTGAGAGGGAGATGTTCTGCTGAACCCGGTCCCGGTCAAATTAAATAAAGTTTTCTCCCACCGTGGCTGAAAACAGAGCGACAGTCATGAAATCCCATTTACTGCATCACTTTTGACATTAATCACATTTGATGCACCAGATTCCAGAAATACTAAACATATTATGTTACATAAAATATTTTGAATAAAAGAGAAATTTTAAAGCAGAACTCACTGAAAAAGCGCGCGCCCTTGGATTAAACTGTAGAGAAGCGCATGATTCAGTTCAGATTCACTTTTTGGCCGCGCTTCATTTCTTATTATTTTGAATAGAGCTTCATTTTAAACGATAGAATAATTTGCGAAAACGACTGGAGAATGTCAGAGCTTCAGCAGGCAGAAAACAAGCAATATCTTCGCAACCCGTGACCCGCCCTCGTTATAATGAAGTCATGGCATGTTCTGATGTTTTTGGCCGTTCTCCTCACTATACATTCTTTTTCTTCACTTGTCCTGCCTTTCTCGCTTTTCACTCTCTCTATCTTACACACACACGTAGCTCATGTGTGTAGCCTTTTCACCCCCTCACTCCCCATGTTAGTAGTAGTGATGATGATGATGAAATAAACTGCAATACTTTCTCCAGCCCTGCGTTTGAGAGGGGTGTGCAAGGGAGGTGGGGAGGAGGGGGTAGGGAGATTTACCCCCGGCTTGGTCGTGACTAACAAAACCAGACTTACAACTCTTCAAAAACAGAAAAAAAGCCCAAAACAATTTAGCCCATTACTAAGCACATTTGGATAATGAAAAGAGGCAGGATCGTAAAAATAAAGGGAAAAAAAACAGGCGGGAGCCGTTTCAAAGGAAACTATTAAGTTTAAACCAGAGATACAGGTGTGAGGAAGCTTACAGCGCACTGTGGTGCTTCAGAAGTATTCGTCAGGCGCGGTGCTTATGAGATTTTTTTTTTTCTCTCTCTATTTTTTTTTGAAAGATTAAAATAAATTGGCTTTAACTTGAAAAGAGGAGTTCCTTAGAATTATGGTTTCCAGTGGGTGGCATTGAGACTCCATTAAAAAGCGTCAGTGGTGGTTTTAGGTGACTCACGCTGTATGTGCTATAGCTTATACTGTAAATGCTGGGTTTAGTCCCTGGGGCGATGCTGATTTTGACAGATTTATGTCAGCGATAAATAAAACAAAACATCTCCACTGCGAGCACAGATGCAAAGCGGTAGGTGTTATATGAGCTGTGGCCTCCAAACCATTTGAATGTGTCGATAAACAGAAACTTTTATCAGTCCTGAAGGAAACTGCAATAATAGGAGGAGCTGTAAATTATACAGAATTTACAAGATGCTTACAAGAACCTATGGGTTTACGAATATGTCCTTAAAAATGCTTTTATTCTTTCTTTTTTTTGGCTCTTTAAGTCATAAAAGTCATTTGTTAAATGTGAATGGAGCAGCATTTTCTTGTAAAACCAGCACTAGGAAATTAGCAGTTAAATAATTAATTGTCCACAGCTGCAACCATTTAACAAGCATTATTGACCACTGCTTATCCTCTTAGCTTGTGTTGTTTCTTAAACAGCTTTGCAATAGACTTGTTACCGTCTCATCATACTTGTAAAAATGATACAAATTATAATAGTAAAAATAAATTATTATTAATTTAATAAAACAAATAAGCCTTATTTTTTTTCCTATTATTCATTAAAAGCCCTTTTCTGTTTTCAGACAAGCATGAGACCAAGCTAAAGGGAGTCATCTACTTCCAGGCCATCGAGGAAGTCTATTATGACCATCTACGCAGCGCCACAAAGGTAAAAACGCCCGCTGTCTTACCTCTGCACTGTATTTACACCCTCTGTTTAGAATCAGCATCAATAAGTTACCACGCCACGCAAAGCCAGAGCCATCGATCTCGTCCTGATGGTCGGCGAGTTTATAGTGAAAGTTTAAACACAGACATCTCGTTGTAAAGAGAATTTCTTACGGCAAGCAGAAAGAGACGCAGATCAAAGGCAGCTTCACGTTCATTTCGTCATGCTTCCCTCTGCTTCATTTTTTTCCCCCCGTCTACTGTTATTCTGTCACTTCTCCTCACCCTACACACGCTTTTCTCTTTGTTGTGTCCCAACAGAGTCCGAATCCCTCCCTGACCTTTTGCGTGAAGACCCACGACCGGCTGTACTTCATGGTGGCCCCTTCCCCAGAGGCCATGCGAATATGGATGGATGTGATAGTAACAGGTGCCGAGGGCTACACGCAGTTTATGACCTGAGGGAAAGACGACTGAAGACTGGCCACGAGACCGCCAGAGTGGGCAGCGCTCGTCAAGTCGATTGGTTCTTTCAGGGAAACCTGAACTTCAGCTATACTTGAGCTCTCACCCACACTGATTGACTTGTATGTGGTCTGTATCAGGACTCAGTTTGGATGGACGCATAATGGCTGGAGGAGGACAGTGTTCTGCTATTGTGGGCAGATAACAAGGTGCTCAGAAGAAACAAAGCAGCGCAAGAGAGACTATTATACAACCTGCTCTTTTTTATTATTATAATTATTATTATTATTATTATTACTCATTCATGTAAAAAAATATATTACTTTGGGTCTGCCTATACCAACATTTCCATGTTATCATTTTGCCTTGAAAATTTTTTTATTTGGATTATTACAAAAGGGATTCCTCTGCCAAATGTTTAAAACCACTTAGGGCCTGTTAAGAAGTTTTTATTTTGCATTAATATTAAGACAAATAACAGTGCGATATATATCATAATCAGACCACAGTAGTCCTTATGAACATCAGGTGCCAAGAGCATGTTACATCATTTCACTATAAATCATGTCATGTGTGTTACTGCCATCCTGAATAGAAGCTACGAAAAGGAAAAATTTGTGATTACGACAAGTATTAATGAGTATTAATGTTACCAAATCCTGTTGTAAGGAAAAGACTTGTTTTTTGTTCGCTATGGAAAAGTAACTGACATTTTTTCCATGTGTTATTGTAATCTATGCTGTTATATATATTGTCTTCGTTTGTCTGAAATAGGCACATTAGCTGCTTTTTTACATATTTTAAATATGTTTTATACTGTGTTAAATAATAAGAAACGTATGCTTGCTGTTGGGTTTGTACGTCTGATTCAAAAACGTTTGGTGGGGGACCATTGCAACATTTTTTTCTACCTATTTGTGTTTGTTGTTACAGTGCAGGTCATGCCAAAGGTTAACCTCAAAAGTCCAGCATTACGGTGTATGAGAAAATTATGGGCAGATGCAGTAATGTTATGTATATGTGAGTGTGGAACAGTAGTGATTATGGAAAACGGCCTAACGTGCCTTCTGTCATTTCAGGCGTGTGTCAATGCAGCAGTACTTCACTGTTGAGTTCTCATGATTAATTGCATAATCAGTTTAAAGATGTATTGAAATATAATATATAATTTGACTGAAAAGAGTATTACGGCCTTCTTAATAACTCAGTATAACTTGTATAGCAGTAGCCTGTCCACTATGACTGAAGCAATAGACTAACAAAACTCCACCAGTGCACTCTTACGTCATATATAGTAACATTTGTAAGCTCCAGTGATAAATGTGTGGATGCCAGACCCAAATAAAATGTGTAACAAAAACTACTGTTATTTTTGTTTTTATTCTTTCCTCCACTGTGCACTCAAAAACTGATATTGATATTAATTGATATTAAAATTGATATTAAATAAGTGAACCAGTTCATGTAAAATGGACAAAATTTAATGAAAGTACATTTCAATGAATGAAAACTTTACAGTGATCCAAAGAGAATCCAATACCAATGAAACCCAAATAAATTGCACTGAAATCTATCAGTATTGTTCCATCAACAATTGAACTCTATGTTGTGGTAAAAAAAGTGTATGTACACTCAACCTACTCAGCCTATGGAAATGTGTTGCATAAATTTGTTTGTTTTTTTTTTTGTGTGTGGCCTGAATGAATGACATCCTTTTCATGAAACTTTATGAATAAAAACAGCACTTTTTTACAGATTAGCCATCCAGCAGTTCTCTCTTCTGTAAATTCTTCAGTAATTCACAAATGCATTTTATTCGATTTTTCACTTTCAGCCTCAGAGCACAAACAGTGTTCTCTGTAAATGAAATCAGTGCAGAGAGAACAGCTCCACCTCGAGTCCCACAACAAAAAGTCTTTAGTCTAACAGGGTAAATGATCTAGGATAATAACAATTACAGGTGAATAAGTGGCAATTACAACTCTATTACCCAGAGCAAAGAAGTATTCTAAATGAGATCTCCTCTTAATCTCATGTACTTGTCCTAAAGATGCTTAAGTCCTGTTTGAAATCAGAGCGAGACTAAAGCCGTAAAATTTAGCTCCTGAGAAATAAGATTTTCTCAATTTGATTAAAATATTGTCACACATGTGGATGAGCTGTTTTGTGTCTGACTCATCTCACCCCAGTCTCAGCTGAGTAATATTTCCATAAGAAAAGTGTAAAATCTCATTGTTTTCTTATACAGCTCTATTCTCTGTCACAGAACTCAGTCAGTGTAAGAAGGAGAACTCACACTTTTCACCACAGCTTCTTACAATGAAGTGCTTATGTTCACCTCTTCTCTTAAAGGTGGGAACTCAGAAATCAGTGATCCTTTATTAATACAATACTGACATCTGCTTTATGTCTTTGAGACAGTCTTAAGAAAGATGTTTTTTCTCTGGGTTTTTGCCTGGGATTAAGCTGTGAGTCCCGCGCGCTCGGTTAAGCATGTGAGTTTATGACAGTTGTGAGTGAGAGTTCACTTCAGTCCGGCCTTCAGCTTCATTCACAGCAAAGGCCTGTTAAAAAGACCTGGAAACGCCCCGTGAAAACAACACAAGTCCGGCGGGAAACGCTGGCCAAAGTCTAAACCGAGGCACTTGCTGCGAAACTACAGTCTGAAGTTGGTTTCCTATTCGCTCCCTTCTCATTCTAATTTATCCATTCCACCTTAAATGGTGCGGCATTCACACCCGGCAAGGACCAACAGTAGTGCATTCAGCATTATATATGTGCAGCACTGTGATATGAGCTCCTGTTTACCTTTGACTTGCTCTTCTTTCCTTTTATTTTAATTCAGTCTGTGACAGACGTGACAGTTTCTGTGAACGTCCACTAGAGGGCGCTGTTTCACAGCTCACGCTGCTGCTCGGCTCTGCGCTTCAGATGGGGGAGGCTGGCGCTCTCTCTCTCTCTCTCTCTCTCTCTCTCTCTCTCTCTCTCTCTCTCTCTCTCTCTCTCTCTCTCTCTCTCTCTCTCTCTCGTGTGGAGGCCTCGGGGCTCAGGGCTTGTTTTCCTCGCCGCCTTTGCGCCTCCACCATCACCACAACAGTTAAATGTGCAACTAACAAATGTCATCAGCGCTCTTAACGAGCCCATCTGTCTGCGGCGGCGGAGGAGCCTCACCAATTAATTCATCACTTGTTACAATTTCATCTGCCTTTAAAGTTCGCAGCGGAGCAGTTTTAGCAACACGGCGCAGCAGAACTCCGCGCGAATGCGTTCAGCACAAAGAGCTGAGCTTGTGCAGCAAACAGAAAACTGTATAGCAGGTCTTTGTAATTTCAGTAATTCTAAATTTTAAAAGAAAAAAGTCTTTTTTAAGAAGATACACACGAACCACTTCATCATGACCACCTCCTTGTTTCTACACTCATCCATTATATCAGCTCCACTTACTATATAGGAGCACTTTGTAGTTCTACAAACACAGACCGTAGTCCATCTGTTTCTCTGCATACTTTGTTAACCCCTTTTACCCTGTTCTTCACTGGTCAGGACCCCCACAGGACCCCCACAGAGCAGGTATTATTACTGAGTGTTGCGCTGGTGTGAGTGGATCAGACACAGCAGTGCGGCTGGAGGTTTTAAACACTTCAGTGTCACTGCTGGACTGAGAACCAAAAATATCCAGCCAACAGTGTCCTGTGACCACTGATGAAGGATTAGAGGATGACCAACGCCAACAGTGCAGCAACAGATGAGCTACTGACTCTGACTTTACATCTACAAGGTGATGCCTAATTGAGTGGACAGTGAGTGGACACGGTGTTTAAAAACTCCAGCAGCACTGCTGTGTCTGATCTACTCACACCAGCACAACACACACTAACACACCACCACCACATCAATGTTACTGCAGTGCTGAGAATGATCCACCACCCAAATAATACCTGCTCTATGATGGTCCAGTGGGCGTCCTGACCATTGAAGAACAGGGTGAAAGGGGGCCAAGAAAGTATGCAGAGAAACAGATGGACTACAGTCTGTAATTGTAGAATTACAAAGTGCTCCTATATAGTAAGTGGAGCTGATACAATGGACAATGAGAATAGATTCAAGGAGGTGGTTATAATGAATGACCGGTCAGCATATGTTTTTTGTGTTCTTCAACACCTGCTGGAGCTAAACTGCATCCTTTTAGAAATGATACGATAACTTAGTCACCTTGTCTTGGGGCACAAAAAGTACTTAAACAAAAATGTTCAGCAAGGACTCCATGCTTAAAGAGGAATTCCACCAGTTTTGCATAATTTAATTGAGGTGTAAATAAAGTCATTCAGAGTGGTTTATGTGAAATGCTCTGTTCTAGAGAAATGTACTGAATTCACAGTGGTGGTGATAGGAACCAGACGTCCGAAGCATTTGATGTGGCTAAAAGCTCCCTCACAGAAAGTTATTAATCCAATAAAATCCCAGGCTCATTACATACTAAGGCTAATTATTCGGTAAGTACAGGGACTTCAACGCACACTGGCTGAGCTATTCTTAGGTTATAGAAGTGTGTAATAAAACTTTGGGCCTGCTGATGGGCCCTGGCCCTTTAAAGGGTTAAACAAAATGTGTACAAATATGCTGCCTAAGACACTGTTTTACATTAGTGTAGGGGTAAAGTTTTGGCTTAAAGTTTTTTTCAAAGTCCATTTTTTCAAAGTCCATTATTTTCAAAGTCCATTTTTTTTTACCATTATCAACATGACATATAAAAACTCAGAAGACACGTGTAGGTTCACTGGTCATTTTGGATCGTAAATACAGTGTCAAGACCCCCCCTTTGCTACAGTAACAGCCTCTACTCCTCTGGAACGCTTTACACTAGATGTTGGAATATTGCTGTGAGGATCTGACTGCATTCAACCACAAGAGCATTAGTGAGGACAGGTAGTGATGTTGGATGATTAGTTCTGGATCACAAACGGCACTCTAGCTCATTCTTAAGGTGTCTTATGGAGCTCCATCACTCCAGAGAATGCTAAGGAGCTTTATACCCCTCTAGCCAATGCCTGGCACTGGGCATGGTGACCTTAGGCTCACGTACCACTGCCCCAGAGAATCCCATTCAACAGAAATTACACAGGTGAGCCTGTGTCAGCAAAGTAGCTGGATTCAGTAATCAGAAGGGATGTCTGGATCCTTTTGGACATACAGTGAGTGTACATAGGTTTTTTTCTGGTGATGTACTTCGAGGCCTGTAGCGATATGTTCATAAGTGACCACTAGTTGCTGGGTCTCGCCGCCTTCAGGCTCTTTTTCAGCATGTGAAACACGTGCTTCACTTGATCTAGATTGACTACTTCACTTAGCTAGTCAACGCAATACTTTGTGGCCGTGCAAATCTCCTTGGTTGCCAGGGTTGTGTGTTTTGTGTCATTGCCATGCTGTGTCATGAGGTGAATTTCAATGACTTGAAGACGTTTGGCTGTATCTGGGCAGAAAAGACTTTTCAAACAGTTGTCTTGCTCACTAAACCACCAGTGAAGATAGATCAGGTAGCTCAATTGGCCATCATATATGCATGCTTATTTCAGTTGTGGTACTGTGGAGTGGAATGAGGAGTTCCTTTTTTACAATATTTTACAATTACTGCATTTACAATTAATAAGTTGGGGGTGGGGGGCGTAAACTAACACGGGGTAAAATGCAACATGGATATTTAATGTATCTAAACAGGTTCAGGTTGACTGTGCTTTTATACATGCTCTTCTATCTCCATTGTAACATCATTTGTGAATTTTGACAGCAACTGGACTAATATTCACCCTAAAGACTTTTTGTACCTTAACTTTTTTTTAACATAATTGATTTTCAATTATTGTGTGTACAAGTCACAGAATTCACTCCTATATTATTTTTATTCACCTTCTTGGTGGCTGTAACAGCATGCAGTGAGAGGTGGGCATGCTAAAATACAGCCCCCACACGGCAGGGTTAGTTCTAACACAGTGTAATAACTAAGCCTTCTAAAGTAAACTATGAGAAAAGTCCATATTCTCTCATATTAATTCAAAACAGTACATTTTTGGACCTTTTCATGCACAGATTAATAAAAAAATATGCTTCAAATATTATGTAAATAAATACATCTCAAATTCAGTCTATTTTTACTAATCATATTTATTTTAATGAATATATTTTCATACATTCAAGTTGGAAAGTTTGTCTGGTTAAAACAACATAGCATTGTATTAAATTTATATTGTATTAAAATGACCAAGCTTTTCAGCTACTGTTACAACAAACTCCTCTGTTACAGTTAACCCCACCTATAGAGTACGTTCTAAAGGTTGCACTCCTGTCACTTTCAGCTGAATTCTT